CCTAATTAAATTATTAACCTTTGAAAAGTGCTGCGCACAATATTGCTTTGTGACATGCACCGGTTAAAAGACGGCATAATTATCGCAAGCGCGCACGTACGCGTAAGGAGTATCGATGCGAAAAAAGCATCTTATCAGTAATTCACACAGAGTCGCGCCGTAACGGCTGCGGATTCCATGCGCTGCTATTGCGCGCGGCAAAACTTGACAGTGATATCCTAAGTCATACTTGACTTTTTAGTTTTCAGTCGAACGCATTCAACACCGCATTGAACCATGTAAAATATTTTGTTAATCCGCTGCTATATATTCAAAATTTATCTATCCGGCAGCTAATGATTAATATGAGCTAATGTATTAGCAAATTGGCAACATTCTCAAAGACATTTAGTCAAAGATATTGACATCGTTTCAACCGTTTTTTCTGGGCAGTGTCGGGTAGCCGCAGTGCAGCTGTATCGCCTTGCTTTAACTTTTGATCGTCGATAATGTGCAATGCACTTTATTGCCTAATTGCACCATAATCCAAGTGCACCTGTAGTGCTATCAAGTAAGGTTGTGCTGGATGCCGATGGTTTGTTACCGGCCTAACGCACAGAAAACTGGGAGTTTGTTAAGTTTCCAGGGAGTATTCCGAAATGAAATCAGCTGTATATAACAGTATTTAATTATGTACGGATTGTACACGTTCGTTACCGTTTTATCAAGCGCGAACTATTAATTCGTTCAGACACAAGTAGGCAACAATCACACCTGCACTCAAATCGTCATTAAAAACTTTGACTTACCACAAAACAAATGCAAAAAATTCATAATTAGTAATACACATACTTAGAAGACAGTCCCAACATTTTCTGTGCGACCAGGATTTATGCAATTTCTACCGGTATACTTCATGTCCGACATCGACAAAATTTGTATCGTTACAAAATTTGGTTTTTTTCCGCCAAAAAAGTGCTGATTTAAGGGGTACTGTGACCCACGCGAACTACGAGTGACTACACATGTGGATACAAGTACCAAAATAAATATCAATCACCTGTCTACTTTTAATGGGGTACCGTGCGCCACTGCCCAACCCACCAATGTCAGCCCCACGGACGCTTGATATCCGTGCATATTTCGGTAGGACACCGGAAACAATAACGCCCATAATTTGTTAATGGCGATTAGCGTATGGGCCACATACTGCACCATTGTGGGCACCCAAATCCCGTACGTGTACACGGTACAGGCCTTCGCACCCAGCCACCAAGAACTATAATGATTACTGATAAAGTCAAATAAGTCGCAGGTTATCGTTGTTAACAGATTGGCGCACAGTAAACTAACAAGATAGACGTTAAAGGGTGTCCACAGAGTGCGATGCGAGAAGAATATTAGCAACAAAAATGCATTTAGCGAGAATCCCAATGTGAAAATGCACAACGACACGACAGCATCCGTACTCCACACTGTGCAGACATCCGTGGCACAACTGGCATTTGATATCGGAAAGATGGTAATATTTTGAGATGTATTAGAAAAGGTTGCGAGGGACATTTTCTACAGACGTTCAGTGATAATGTAATTTTCTCGGAAAACTGTAGATTATCGCTGTTATCCCAATTTCATGGAATGCAGTTGCCAATCAAATTAAAGCGGCCAGTGACGGTTCAAATTATCATGCGTTTAGTAATGAACAACATATATTGCAATTGCATGGTCGAATTCGGACTGATAGGCGCATAAAATTACGTGCGAAAAGCACCAGGTCGGACAGGCGACCATTCACTGTCAGCAAACGTACAATATCTATGAATAGAAGCAGCGTATAACTTTCACGTGATCATCCCCACATCTACGGATATATACAATAATATGCAAGCCACATAAAATTTATTCACAGTGACGGAGATGTCAAATATCACGCAGCCGGATTTGAACTGACATGGTGATGCTTGTTGACATGGCCCGATATGCTCAAAAGGTGCATTGTTCTTTGGTTTACGGATCGGATACTGCATTTTTATAACCAAGCCGGCGCGGTTTTCATGTAAATGTGATTATCTGTATCATCTAGTAAAAGGCCAATAAAACGAAAAAATGTGCGAAAAACAAATGCAAACTGTAGAGTGCATAGGGCATGAATTAGTTTAATTAGTACTTCTTGCAGGCGCAGTCTTTTCCCCAAGAGAAACGACAAGCTATTAATACGTAAAGAAATCCATCAGGTGTGATGAGATGCCCGACGTAGTGATTAATAAGGTTTGATTCAATCTTGCCAACCACACCCGACGTATCGGTCATCAACCAAAGCTTAAACTGTACGAGTATACTAACTGCAAATGCCATATTACAGATACTGTGCAGTGTACACTTGTACATTGTATTGTTAATATGCTCAGGCATATTGTCTGGTTTGTGAATGTATTTTGCATATGCGCCTACAAAGTAAAATATGTAGCATGCTTGCTCAAAGCACGGATGTGTAAGTACTGTACTGGTTTTCATTCCAGCGGCAGCGGTACAGGTCCTGCTGCTAATACCCCACTTCAGGTGTCTCATTGCCGGCCTATAGTTTCTAAATCATAGTTCAACAGCAGGCTCATGTGTTGCGTAGTCAGGATGCACTCCGCATTCATGCTTAACGGTATTATGCCAGATAAGCGTTGGCGTGTATTATCCCACTTGTCGAAATTTCCGTACGAAAGCTTCTTTGAGTACGAACGATTTGCATCTTTTTTAGAATAAGAGTTTTTGTGAACCAATACCGTATAACTGAAACATGATACAGATTTTGTTTATTCATTTGATTTTTAAGACACCTGCAGAAATTTGATGACCTTTACAGTAAAAATTGGAAGCTTGTGGGTTCGCTCGTCTTACTGCTACCTGCGAAGTTGACACTATTTTTATGTCAGGAAATTTCATCCGCTTGATGCAGAACCATCTCGGTAGTGCAAAATAGTCAAGCTCAAATCAATGACAACTAATATCGTACTCTTCGCCAATGATAGTGCTCTCGAAACATACTGGCGCGAAGTGCAAACTCATAGCGCGCTAAGCGCCTAATAAGCAGATGAACACTGAAACAATATTTCTCATTTCAAGTGTATTTTCCATTTCATAGTTTTTTACATTTGCATCAGTTGTTTGCAATCAACTAAAATTACTAAACGATTTTCCAGGACTGGGATATTGATTTGTCCAGCTAACGTCTTTCTTGCGTCGAATAAACAGTTTCATGTGGTATGCAGAGTATTTTGTGCTATTACTAGAGTATTAATAGTGCGGCAGTTACAGAACATACACTAATTTCAACGCTCGGAAAATCGGGTAAACAGTATTGTTTACACTGATAAATTTGCGGCTGCTGTCTACTCTAATGAGCTGTCGTAGAACAAATTATAGAGTATAACTGTATACCTATTACCTATCATCCGCTACTAATTATATACAATACGGACACTGTCCATAAGAAAGTTTCTTCACAAAAATAATATCAACTTTGAGGTACAAACTACAAAGTAATACCTCAAATTCTGTTGCCTAGAACCTTCAGGATGTATACTGGGCCACTGGATAGTGGCCAGTACTCCGTTTACAAGGGAATTTCTTATCGGGGTAAGCCATTTGCTGATATCCACGCTGAGAATGAACTAGAAGAACTCAGTCTTGTTTGGACTTCAGATCCGTGCTTGGTCTTCAAATGAAGTTTAAAATATGTTTTATTTTCTTCGACATAGTTTATTTTCACATAGACTCACAAGATAACACACGCAGAGTAGTCAAAATTAGTACTGAACAATTAGCAGCATTGTTTTTGTTTTGGCCATGATAATGATTAAGCTATGTACGAGATATAATCCAGTCAGAGTTTTTTATAGTCGCGTTCAACAGCTGATGGCATTAGTATTGCAAAGAGCCGCTTTCGCTCATACCCTCGTTTTCGTCCTCGGCCAGCTGCAACAGTACTTCAACAGTACTGCATCAGTACTGCAACAGTAGTAAGTACAGATAGATAAAAGATGTGTGTGTGGCTTGCAATCACGGCAGCGACATGCAAATCAGACGTCACATTTTTTGTCGCTTTGCTTATAATTAGCTTTAACGACAATAGACTTCCAGCCGTCCACCACTTGCTTGCTTCTGTTTGTCCAAATGGTAAAGCGTTAAAAATATATTACGTACTTGTATACTCGCATGCAAATGCGGGAGTAGGTATTCGTTTCTTATCAACCTTACGGTAACAAAATGATAGTACTTAATACTACTTACTTATGTGCGTCAAATATTAATGGTGCGCTCGTTATTTTGCTATTATTTTCCTGACATCCGTAACCTTTCGATATGACACCGAGATTATCTTTTTGCGTTGTGCGTGAATGAAAACAGACGAATTAGAACATTTGAAACGTACTGTGTTTACTTGACAATTGTCGTACGTACGACAATTGTCTCATATCGTTGTTATCGCATAGTACGCGTCAGTATCAGCGAGTATTTGCTAAAATCAAGGAAGCATTGAAACTGGTCGGCACGCGGAGCATTCGCATGAAAACTGCATCAGCTATTGAAAAGATACAGTGGTCCGACGTAATTATTACTCCTTAGTTTGAATGAGACGCTAAAGCCTGAGAAAAGGTGGTTCTATCTGTACAGAAACTAAAAACACTGTGTAACGCTTTATATTATGTTAAATTAATACAATGTCTTATAAACAGCCATCAACCGTTACTTCATGTTTGACTTGCATGGTGTATTCATAATAAACCGTATGCTACTGCATATATCAGCTTTATCGAATATAGGATAAGCTTTTTATTTGTATCATATTATAGGTAACTCAAAAATTCCAATCGTTTTGCCAATCAATTATGTATACCAGTCAGGTAAGCCCAGCGGTCTATCGATCCAGGTTAAGTATACATTTTAACCAATGGCCGCGCCTTCGTCCTCTAGTTAAGAAACAAGACGTTTACAAAGAAAAGCATATTTTTTTTCTGAAATCATAAGCTTTAATCGTTTTCGATCGAGGGTTGCGTTTGCTGGCGTATGCTTTCCATGCGGTCACTTCGGCTGCCTCCGGTTCGAAAAATTGGGATCAGCTTTCGCCGTAACACCGAACTCATGGCAACATAGAAAACAGGGCTTGTGGCGCAACCTGAGAATACATATCGTTATAATTTTTACTCATCAGATTTGACGTGCGACTTCGTGACTGCATCATGTCAGCGAATCGTATTAAAGTTAATTAATTATTGTGCACAGTGATGTCAGGCAACATTTGGGATACGACGGAAATCTCTCCAAAAATAACCAAGCTAGCTAGTGTTATTATTTTAGACGTACTTACACAATTCCCCTAACTGGCCCTAAGCCTACTACACAATGCGTTGTTTACAAAATGAATACCTATCCACACCAGCAGGATCAGCGACATTCCCGTAGTTGACTGCAGATCACGGACGGTCTTGACAAAGAACCCATACAGCGAATTCGGTACATAACAAATTAGGAAGATGAAACACGTGATCATGGCGGTGTTGGTCGTGCGGATCTCTGCACGCACACGTTTTCGCTTGGCCACCGTGGCATCCGTCGCCCGCGTCAGTCCACCTGTGGTGCGGGAGAATGCGTCATTGTTCACTGATTTGTCGATGCGCCGCTGCCGATTTATGGCGATGCAGTACAGTTTCACCGAAATTGCCAGGTACGATACTACCATTAAAGATAGAGGAAAAAAGGAATTCAGCGTTTTGTACGTCAACTGGTATGGCCGCAGAATGACCCCCACGAATAAGCACGTGTGTGCGATCGTCGTGTACCCAAATGTGCCGAACATGTGGAACAAGGGAAATATAAAGGTCACTAGGGGAATAATCCATCCCGCCGCAATTAAAAAGCCGGCCACCAGGTTTGAGTAACTGAATTTTTTATGACTTAGAAACATTAGCGTGATGAAACGGTTTAGTGCGATGCCAACATGAGCGTAGGCGGATGCAGTCTGACTGAACCAAAAAATATAAACCAATCCCTGGCAAGCGGATGGATGGAGAAAAAAATAGTTAATAGGAAACGTTGTGAGAGTGTACGCTAACACTGGTGCGTTAACGGTGCAGAATAACAGTGATGACACGCAGAGATTAATCAGCAGAGCGTCACTCTGAGGCGTCTGCTCAAAGTGGCGTTGCTTAATGAAATACAGGCACAGTAAGGAACCCAGGATGCCGGTAGGTACGAGGACGCCGGTGATGATCCCATGGATATACGTGTCAGTTTCCTCCTGACGTATCAAGGTATTATTAGTCAGATTGCTCATTCTACGGAAAGAATTATAAACGTGAAGTTAGATATCACCACCAAACCAGCGAACAGATACTGCAAAAAAATACAAGAAGAGATGGCTTTCATTTCTGGCGCGGTACAGATAAAATACAGGCGAGGTGATGGACTCACGTGGGAATTGCGTATGTGGCATTCATCGATTTTTGTTAAATTGCACGTCATTTTCGCTGTATCGGTTCCATTTTATCTTAATGGAGTTATTGGATCAGGTGAAAAAATCACACGTATTTCTTGTAAGTTCTCGAGGGCTGACATAGGGTTTTAACTGCAATCAATACCATTCCCGATAATCTTTGACCCAGACACTTCCAAGGAGCGGAAAATTAGTGTCGATTGGCAAAAACAGCCGGATATTAATAACTGATCAGAGTGCAACGCCCATTGTGTACCAGGTAAAACAGTTCAATTTTCTCACCCTGTCGCTTCCGGCATCATATGTACGTGTTCATCTAACGTTGTGGATGATAAACTGAAACTACACCTAGTCACATTAGCTGATTTTAAATATAAGCCGGATGCCGGGAAGATGGAGGCACGCATTGCATTAATGAAAATGATTCCGGGTGGTTTTAACGTAAAGGAGTGAATCAATATCTTGACGGTAGGGTGCGAAACCCGCATGCATACATCATGACCAATTTTGATTCGGGTACCACCACGGTATCAATAGATTCCCGCCGGAATTATACAAATGTGGAAGTGAGCTATCCGAAATTTGCTGCGTGCCATTATACGATCAGCCCTTTTCTTATGAAACACTATGTCACGCATGCATTTTAAAATAGCCGTGACCACATTCCAGTAACGAGGTTTCTTGTTACGAGTAGTTATGGTTATATTTGAGCCTTTACCTTTTGCATACAAGACAGCTATACATTACTTACTAATTTATTTAGAAACCTATTGTGTATACTCTCATAATTAAGATCATTTGATGCAACGTCTACAGACTATAGGACAATCAAATTCATAGAGATATTTCAAATTTGTCAAATATTATAGCTGTGTAAGTATCAGTATGTCTTAAGTCTCGAAAACAGTCTTCGCTATACAGTAGATAACGCGTTTAAAAGCGCTTCAAATTTATTTAGGCGTTTCTGATCCAGTAACATAACATTATTCCTCAAGCTGATTGCACCAGGCCACCATATGCACTCCGGCTGGGACGAAGGTTTAAAGGTACTTAATTACTGTAAGTAATCCAAATTTGACATGGAAATTTTGGCTGGTTTTCAGTATTGTTCACTTTTTCAATTTTCAAGGTACGCATACAAAAGAGCTGCTTAATTAGCGTTTTTTATAACATTCGGTTACATGCGTACATAGTGGAAACCACCATTTTGACAGAGTGTTAGAATTCACAGTTCATTAATTCTGATAATTCAAATGAAAAATACAAGAATTATTCTGCGTTATGCGGCTTAACTTTGTTTTCAATACATCAAAATGGTGAACAAATGTCATTTAATATAGAGTTGGAAATGGTGAAATGTTGCCGCTTTGTGTTAGTTATTAGTATTAGTTAGATGACGATCATTAGTTAGCAGTTTCTCGTTTACAGTACTAAACTACAACATTGAAGCCATTTTTTAATACATGGGCCTCCCCCGCTAGATGAAATAAATATCAGCAGAGACCGACGTCCAAGCATTGTGAATGTGCATTGGAATGCGCATGCGAATTACGAAACAACAAACATACAACATGCTTAATAATATCGAAAGCATATGAACTGCCCGCATGCGCAGTACCAGCCTGCGATTTCGTCGCTACGGTAAATCAACAAATAAAACAACAATTTTGTTATTACATCTGTTTAAGCGTTTAAACTCGGTTGAACTGCAACAAAGCGAGCGTTTTATGCCGTCTGGTATAAAATGGCATTTGACAGTTTTGATCCAATATAGCGGATAAAAGATGCAGGAGGTAGCGTCTGTTCCCTATAATACGAGTAGGTTACTGAAGTATTCTCGCGTTTTATTCATGATTGCTGGTTACTCAGCTATTTTTCCGTTATAAGCTACTAAATTAAACACTGCTATGGAGAAAAGGAAGACCATTCTTTTGGATTCAGGTCGTTTGTATTAGGTGATGTTGCTTCATCGGCTAATGAGCATGCTAAAAGCTCATATATCATAATATGTGCATCATAAAAGGTCAAATAACTTTTAGAAAATGATTGTGTATAATTTTATAATTTGGGTCATCTGATGCAACTTGCCCATGGGTCATCAGATGTGGGCATAGTATGTGTAGTAATCGACTACATGCAAATAGCAATGTTTCAAATTTGTCTGTTATAACTTTATAATGCAAAAGGTTCCCATGTGTAGACTTTTGAACTTTTCCATTTCAGTATGAAATACACGGCCGGCAGGTTTTTCTGGTGAATATAAAGCTCAGACTGGTGCCTGGAGAGCCGAACGTACATGCTCGTTGTACTGTGGAAGGTTGCCGTAGGCTAAGATCTTATTTACCATGCACACTTAAACGTTTCCGCGCAATAATTATGTGGACCTCTGAATTTGTACAGTTACCACTGATTAAGACTTTACGCAATTTTGGATATTGAATTTTACTGCCATTTTTAATTAATGGGTTTTCCCACGCATTTCGCATAGAACAGTTTACAGAAACAAGCGAAAAAACACCATGTAGCACAAGCAAAATACTCTCAGCATATCACTGACGGGCGCAGCGACGGCGATAATGGATTATGTCAAACTCAACAGCATACAAATTAGTACCTAGTAACAAACAATACTGCATAAACGTCAATTTGACATTTGACTAAATAATTCTCCTAGCGTTTTCAGTGAGCACTTTTCTGGCGACCACGCCAACATGACTGTTCTCCAGTTGGCTGCCAGGGGTCACTCCGGCCGTACCAAACAAGCCGCATTTTTCCACCGAAAACCCAACTAACTCCACTTCCCTTACCAACACATCCTCATCAAATCCGTAATACATATCCGGCGCATTTGCCAACTTGGTAATCCACTCCTTAATATCCCCGCCCGACATGGACAACCATCCCGGCCACTCTTCTGCCGCCTCCTTTTTTCGTAAATACTCCAAATACGCTGCCGGTGTCGCGGCTGGTGCGCATAACCCACACGTTATACATGCAACACCATCCGGGGTCAACCAATCATAAAATTTCTTCAGGATATCCCGAATGGCTTCCGCTGAGGTAAGCCAGTGAATCCATCGTGATGCCAGGATGCCGCCTAAACTATTGGAGGCAAAGGTCAATTGTGTACAATCACCGGGAATAATTCGCAAAGCTTCGGGAAACCGTGTAGCTTTTTCGTGATGCAGTTCCACCAAGTGGGGCTCATGCAGATCATTGGCAATCACATCACAGCCCGTTTCCAACAACCGCAATGTCATAAACCCGTAGCCACAACCGAAATCGGCTACAGGGAGGACGGGTGCTTCCCGCCGCATAAGGTCAATAAACTCTTTGCAGTAGGGATCTAGATGGGTCAAACAGTACCCTTGGCGGTTAAGCGTTGGCCGCAACGGCCGCTGCACAGTGAATGCGTCAAGCGCGTCTTCCATTTTGTCAAAGCACGTGTAATGCAGTAAAAAACACCGAACATACCATGGCGGAAAGTTCCGTTGAGCACTTCAGGGTACATTTGGCAGATATTAGCGTTACATGGTTATCGTGTTCTGATTGCCGAACCATCGTCGATCGGTGCGTAAGTGCATGTACGTCGGTGGATCGCTTATATGAGGTACTTAATGCGGTATAATTGTTATATTATTGCACAATATCACCATATTGTGGATATTTAATAAAGTCGTACATCTTGTGTATTATGGCGAGTTTACGATGTACGTTAGTTGATAGCTTGGTATCACGTGCTCATAGAGTGGTCGACTATGCAACGCCATATTGACCGAGATTCGTCATACTCAGATACATTGCGGCGGAAAATTTTGCTCATTACTGAATCTGCGCGTAGTGCCCTTTCGCGAACTGACACACTGCAAGGAAATCTTGAAAGAACCCTGGATAAAATAAAATGTTAGCAATCTTGCTTTTTTGTCGCGTTAGTTGCTCATTGTGCTCCAGGGAACATGTACATGTTGAACGGCAATGAACCGCACACGTTGAATCATAATATCATTATCCGCAAGGCGACTTCCAGAGTAGATTTGCAGTGTGCTGCACGTGCGGTTTACTCACGTTTCTATCGCGCGACACAGCCACGTTTATAGCCGTTGTCGAAAAATTTCCGGTGGTGCACAATGATTGTCGTTACGCATATCGATTAGATACCATTGTTGAGCGGAGCCGTTGCACGTGTACATACGTGGGCAATTTCTTTACTGTTAGTAGCGAAACTTCAGCGTTACTTACGATTAATATAAAATAGTTTAAGCACTGTGTTACCGATAACCTTGAACAAAGGTACATGCATTAACATGAAGTTTTCGTCCAACAAGCTCTAATTCGGCGAACTATTAGCTTTTACCAAGTTTTCGATAACAAACCAATACGATTCTGTATAACGACCGATGATACGCTAGTAACCCATGGCCATGTGTATGGTACGGTGGACTTCATAAAGGAGGTTACGCAAATACATCCACACATATGCTGATGATATGCATATGCTATCGGCTATAGCCTACAGGTGTAACCATCTTTGTGAAGTCCACTTTATGTGTACATATATAGCAGGAAATTATAACTATGCTGGAAACAACTCGTTCGGTTATTATTCGAACTTCGAAGGGGCATATTTACACAGTACTTATCACAGTATTATTTTTACACAGTAATTGCCATGTGGTTTCAAGTACTAGTAGCCTTTCGAATTTGTCACATATAAAAACTGCTGATTAAATAATGAAGCTGACAATGAAACTTTTCAAGCATGGTACGAAGAGTCAGTAGAGAATTTAGCTTCCCGCCGTGAAAGACCATTATACTCGTAATTAGGTAGCTAGCTTATTTTCCCAATCAGTCAGCAAACAAACAAGCCGCAAGAATGATAGAAAAAAATTGCAAAAACATGGTAGAACATCGTTTACCGGCAGAATAGACCACAACTATCATTAACCATCAGCAATCAATGCCGATCGTAAAAAATGGTTCCGGAAACGATGCAATATGTTGCCGCGGCGTACTCGCTTAGGATTTCTTGTTCTTTCTCTTGGCGGGTTTGGCGGCCGCCGCAGCACTCCCCGTCTGATCCGGACTGATTGCGCCTAGGGCCTCTGCTACAACATAGCTGTCCTCATTGTCCAGCAGGGGAACATCTTGTCCTTGGTACAGCCGACTGTTGGAGTAATCATAAAACTCTTTGGCTTTGGAGCAATCAACATCCCAGTACCAGTGACAAACCAAAGTAATTTGGTTGAAGACCTATGCGAGCGTAATTAAAACGTTTTTCATCGGCAGCGACGGCAGGGGATAAAGGGGCTCTTAATTGTGTCTTACAAATAGTTGCTTACCGTAAGATTAGGGCACAAATATGCAGTTTGATTACCGTTGACGTCACATCGACGAATGACTGTAACAAAAATCATTTGATACAGACAGAAAAGGCATGGATTGATTCTTATGTACAATATATATAAACGCCCCAACGATAAATACTCGTATTGATTACGAAGAACTTAACACAGAATTAATTCTCTTGCTATGGTGGCTAGAAAAGATTGAAATAAATGCTACTAATAATAAGTCAACGGTGCCACTTAATCAACAAGAAACAAAACAGGTTTCAACTTATAGAAGTAGTGCAAACTGTATATCCATAGTGGCTCGTCGGTATTTTACAGTTTCTTCGTGTTTTTTTTATATGTCTCCGCTATGTGCACATGCAGTAATCATAACGCGCACATAAAATCCGGTCTTACTTACCCTGGCATTTAAACTCGACATCGGCATAGAATCCAGCTTTAACCGATCCGCAGTCAAAGTTTCCGGCTGGAATTTCGTTCAAGTTGGGATAATCTTGTCCGGCCTTGGCGATGCTCAACAGCGCACGAATATCTTCGATGCCCAGTTTGGCCTTCCCGCGGAGCTGGTCCAGAGCACTCCATACACCGGGATTCTGATTCTGGGCCGCACGCTTGACCTTTAAAATTTACGACATGTGTCCATTTATTGCTAACAATGAAATGGTTATCACAAGTCAAGAAAATTACTAACTGCCTTTTCTTTTTGCACAATGCCATTATTCACTACAAAAATATAAAATTGAAAACATACAATTTTTATCTTACCAGTCCGCCAGAAGATACCCCCAATAGGGCAGCTAGAAGGATGAGGCACTTCATTTTATCTGAGATCTTATAGTACCGTTAAACAAAATAACTAAAGACAGCTGAAACTGCTCATATATACGCTGCCTAGTGGGATCTGATTATATATCTAATAAAAATAATAGACTTTTCTTCAAAATCAAGTATGAAGAAGTGGGTCGGACATCAGTGTTTTCACTGCTTTATTATAGCTTGCGTCTTGCTCGACATTTATCGTCATCTCAAATGCCAATCTCCTATGTTCTGATGCTGGTATGCTGGTAGGTGCTACAGAAGACTGATTCTCTAATGTATCTGTATGCCTAAGGAAATGAACTGCTTGCAATGAAAGACTGTTCGTATTATATTAATAATGGTATTCCAACGAGTATTAAAATAATGATTCTCTTTTGTTGGTGATGGTGAATATTGTGCTATTTTTTCCGCGCTACTGCGCTAATAGATCACCACATATAATACGTGAACTTGTAATGATTGCTACACATACTTAATACCTTATTGTTCGCGCTTCAACGTTCAATGACGCGCATACAAATCCAAATCTTTCGTATTTCGTTAAATAAAATACCGACGTACCAGAATTGTTTCTTTCATTTACTCTTTACAGAAACTTTGTGCGATGCTCTGAATCTGCATGTATTGGCGCATTTGAAGTATACGAATACGTCGGAACATTTAAAGAGTCATAATATTCAACAGCCGGATCTCATTTACCTATAAACGTGCGGCGCCAAAATGATTAGTTATTCTAGTTGCAAGTTATTCTTGTCGTTTATTTATCGGTCTAATCTATTATGTTAATAGTAAATCTTTATTAGTAATTTTTGCAGGCAATAAATGGCTTACCAATCTATAAATACGTACTTTTTCTGGAAAATAAACCGAAACTTTCTAATAATAATAGTAGGACTCGAATACTCAACTGAACTCGTATTTCGAGAAATTCTAAGCAAACAGCAGCCAATTTGAGACCCTAATGAGACTTAATTTAATTTACACGGAGGTTTTATTCACAAAACTTTTGTAGGCTTCATCGCACTCGTACCGAAGTATCGTTATCACGCCCGGAGCAACAGCATAATTAAAAGCATCAGAAACACTGTAAACCTGGGTTTTCGCTGTTTATTAGCAGCCAGTGTACATTTTGATACTACTGTCGCTTAGTCAAATAATAAAGTTCTACCGTAAAAAAACCCCAGCGACCAGACTTTACCGTTTAGTCAGCAAAATACCAGGCACATGAGCTCGTTCACATTGCAACAAAAACTAGTAATTTTTCGGCATGCGATTCGTAGGCCTGCCGTAACTTCGCTTCACGCTTGCTTGAAGTGTCGTACGTACTGACAACCAAACGTGTCATGCTTTAATAATGCTAAGCTTATACAGCTGACCATATTTAGAGCAAATTGTTCACATTTTTGCCATTGTTTCTGTACAAACACCAATAATTCCAACACACCGGCGTTTTATGTAGTCGAAGACGACAACGATGGCCGCCGCGACGCGCGGCACATTACTGCAGCGCATTTACTACCTTGCGGCCAATCCATCAAGTGTGTTGATTTTTCAGCCTTACAACCGGGGTGGTGCGGCGTAATGCGCTGGTTCAGCGGTAACCGTACCGCGGGTTTAAAGTAAACATCATCCAAACAAGAAATCAAGTGATCCTCGCAAATCGCGGTCGCGTCTCTGGCCATCATATATTTCCGGTGCCTTAGCTTGTTTCGCTGGCAATGGCCGTTCATGACAATGGGCTGAATTTATGAAACTAATATTAACTTTTTTGCAGTCATTCTTTTAGAAAATTTAGCTAATTCGAATTCGAAGCTAATTAATTATATTATTGTTATCTGTAATCATGACGAGAACGGCGAAATATCATGTGCAGCCCGTTGGCAATGGGAATCAGGGTTATTTTGACAAGGGTGGCGACCAGGTGGATCGGGGTTATGCGTGGGCTATTTGCGCTACCGCCGGTCTGATTTACACCATCACTGATGGTGTCAGCTTTTCTACAGGAGTGCTCTTCCCGGAGTTTATGTCCTACTACAGCTCACCGGCCAATGAAGCAGCTTGGATCTCTTCCCTCATGTTTGGGGCCATGCTTTTGTCGGGTAGGAACACTGGATCAATAATTTTGGGTTTATGTAACATATGTAAACCCAAAATTATTGATGATATACATAATTATGTATTATCTGTGCTGTTTGCTCTTTTTTCAGTTTTGTACCATAAGTGAAATAATGATTACATCATCAATGTTTTTGTTGAGTTGGCTAAACTGCTTTATGGTTTTTGTTGCTGCCTGTTATACTTGCAATTGGGATATTATGTACAATACCAATCAAAAAGATGCGCACAATAAACAATTTACCGGCTTCCTGTCACTTGAGCGTTACACTTGTTTCTCATGGCGATCAGTTGTCTTTCTACTCACGTTAGGACCACTTATTGGTGTGCTGATCAGCCGGTTCGGCGCGCGCGTTGTGGGCTTTGTTGGTTCTCTACTGGCCGCCGGCGGGATGGTGGCTAGCTTTTGGGCACCTAATGTTTACTACCTTATGGGCACATTAGGCGTTCTAACGGGTATGTATGGATTCATCAATTACAAAACAGTGACCGGTACCCTTAACCATGCATTCAATAATATAATGTCGGCTGATGTAAATGAATAACGCTCACCTATAATTATTTCCTGGCCACTGCAGGGCACTGAGCGATATGCATTGCGTGGGAATAATGTCCGTTCTTGGCTTCGACCATATTACACCATGTTTAATACCCATTTCCTTGATACAGGTCTTGGCTATGGCTGCATAATGCTAGCAGCCTTAACCAGCGTGACCTTCTGGTTTGATGCAAAACGCGGTTTCGCCTTCGGCCTGGCTGTTGTCATTTCCGGTCTGGGCACTTTCGTCATCTCCCTGCTAACTGCCTTTCTTCTGGACCACTATGGCCTTCATGGTGCACTTCTTATTCTTGCCGGTGTCTCCCTACAGGGCTGTATCCTGGCCCTTCTCCTGCGTCCCGCTCCCAAACACCTTCCGGAGCCTTTGTCCCACTATCCCAAAAAGCATTTTGACCCAGCCATGTTTAAGCGGGTTAAATTTGATATCTTTCTGCTGGCGTGTCTGATTTTTGCTACCGGATACTTTCCGATATTTATGTTTGTTACGTCATGGGCGGAGCAGGTGCTGCAGTTGAACGCGGTAGATGCGGCGGCTTTCCTGACGATAATTGCCGTAGCGCAGTTGGCGGGGAGGATGGTGTGCGCGGTGTTGATTGACCGGACGTGGGTCAATAAAAGTTTCTTACTGGCCGGAGCGCTGTGGTGTGGAGGGGCGGCTGCTTGTTTATCGCTGTATTGTACAACGTATAAAACCGCGGTGATGTTTTGCTGCGTATATGGATTTGGAGGAGGTACAGTAATCCATATGTAGTCATCCAAATTCGTAATTATTAATTATCTGTACCATCATCCACAACATTCATTATTACTGACAGTACAAAGCATATCTGTAGATATTTAATTATCCAAACTGATAGGAGTACAAGTTGTATGTATTCAAAGCGTGCGAATAGTGTGCCTTTAAAGGCACACTAATCGTGCTGTTTGCTGTTCGATTTTAAAAAGAACAAGTTTGAATTTTCACTATCATCAATAATTTTATATTGTGAAACTGTGATTTACGTGGTAATTGTGCACATATGAATCAACAAACACCGAAACTGATACAAGTACAGATACGTAACTGCTGTCACGTACGTCGCGTAATAATAACGACTACAATAACAGCAGTATCATTTTTTGAATTTTATATAGGGTGTGCCATGGTTGGACTTCCCATGTTAACGCCTTTGTTGGTAACAAAAGAACAAACCGAAGTGGCGAGCGGCTTTTTTGTTTTTGCCTTTGGCGTATCCGCCCTATTAGGCCTTCCAGCCGCTGGTAAGCTGGCTGCTGTACCGTATTAAAATTTACTTTTTAAGAGAAGGAATTTGTGGCAAAGAAACTTTTGTAATGGCTGTTATAAGCAACGGTTGTTCGATTGAAGGTGCTGTTGTGGAATATCTCCAAGGAGACTTCCGGTGGCTCATGGTGGGATCGGGTGGTTTGATATGTGCCGGTTCCTTTGTTGTTGCAGCTATTGAATGCCACTGATCATACATGACCAAGTTTCTAGTTGTACGTAGTTTTATACTTCAGTGACCTTTAAAGAGTATGTACATACAAAGCAGTGCCAAGGTAATACAAATTATTATTACAATATTATTTAATACAAAAACCAACAAAAAAGAGGCACACGGAGATGGCAAACGTGTTATAAAGAAAACACAAATCAGACGTTGCCGATTTCCCAGTTTCGCAGTTCCCTTTTTATCTCGCCAACTGTGCGTTTGTATTCCGGAGAACGCTGGTGGGATTGAGGTTCGTACCCGTTGTTAACATATCCACTACGAATCTTCACAAACCTACTGCGCGGCGATTCAACAGGTTTTCGATTAGAAATACCTTGCACATAATTTGGATCGATATGATTGGTCCTAGAAAAAAGTGCTTAACATTATAAACTATTAACTTAATACCATGAACTGCTGTACAGGAGTTTTGAAATTTAACTATACAATGCGCCTTGTTTACTTGATAACGGATATGAGCTTCACCCGTCCTGCCCCGCCCTTTATCATTGCGTCTTCTGGGCGATTCACTGTTCTATCGCGTGATTGGACCCGTGGTTGCTCCGAATTAGCTACCGGAATTTCCTGAAAATTTAATGTACGTTTTTTTGGATTTCCACGCACCCGAAAAATATGTAACATACACGAATTGGTTGGGTTCGGGAAGGAAAAGCTGCTTGTACAGGACGGGACTCACTAATACGAACACCCCGATCCGGTGTTGGTTGTTTATCACTAAAACTTTTCTGAATAAACGTGGTCTCTTTTGTTCCACGGAGCTGCAATGGATTTGGCAGCTGTTCCAAAGGTCCACCAGGTACCAAGGATTTTTTTCGAGGCATTAGCACAGTCTGAATTCCTTGGTCCTTGAACTCGCCAGGTTGCGGCCGGAGCGATGGTAACGAAGTTTGCGTGGCAGTAAAGTGATGCGATACCTGTTGGTGCAAATTGCGAATTTACGAAACTGACAGCACAAACTGACAACACCACGCTCGAACTGTTCCCAAGGCGCCTACCGGGTGGTGTTGTCACTTTATAATCAAATCTTGCCAACTAAAGTACGCATGTACGGGTTATTGGCCGTAAGGTAAGATTATTATGGAGAAAATTCCTTAAAAATTACCGTAACCTTGGCGAGCGGTACAGCAAAGCTTGAGTTTAAAATCATAAAAGCGTACCAGTGTCGGAACCGTTTTAGGTGGTTTCCGTATGCATCGAATCCAAATACACAGTAAGAGCCAAACCAGACAGATTGCCAATAAAACTGCCGCCGCCTGATATAAAAACCCACAAGTAAGTACTCTTTAGTAGTATTATAGACGTAACTCGCGGTATGTTGCTTTAGGTAAACAATATCAAAGACGTAGCCGAAATAAATCGTAAGTTGGTATTATTTTTAGTATTACCGTCGAAACTCCAACAATAATTCCGTAATAATCTGGCGATGAAATGCTAGCTGATGACGGACGCGAAGAATTTTGAGTCAATCCAGAAATCACTAAAGCAGAAATTCGGACAATGTAGATATCAGTACCGTATGAGTAATGCGATTTTGTGGAAATTAATATTTCTACCGGAAGGTCGCTGTAAGACAACACTGCCGAGAATGGAGCTGATCTCGTCGTTGCTGAGCAGATTAACCCGCTCTAACCCGTCAGATGCATTTAAAACGCTCCACTGCGGTCCGAATGCCAGATCGGTATGCAAGAGAATGAAATCAACCTGGGTTGCTGCAGTTCCGTTAAGTGATGTACCATTTATTTGTATAATCTGCAAAATTAATAATATAGATATACATAGTATCAGCTTTTCACGTACAATCTTTTATTCACATTACTGAACGGTTCCGCACGTATCTGTACAACCAGACGCCAAGCAGCGGATCACTCACCGTTACGTTCGATACCGGTGTAACCGTCGTTGTGAAGCCAGGAGTGGTGATATTCGTGGCATTACTTATCAGCCGTTCGTCTTCTAGAAGTGAGACGTACCGGCGATCGGCTTCCTGAAAAACCTTCAACAACCCGGCTTCCATTCGAGTGCGGTATGTGCTCAAAACCGAATTGGTTCGATCCCATCGTGGCTGAGCTATCACTAATATAAGAAAAGCAGGAAAATGAAGGCAATAAATAATTTCTCATCTACGATCGTTACAGTACTGCTGCGCCTGAGATGAGTAACTGGAAGGGATGTGTAAATGACTTGCAAGAGAAAGTGCCATGCAAGAACGAATGGAACTCTTGAAATTCGATACCATCAAAAAATGACTTCCGAGTAGTAACGTCCGACAAACAAAAATTTTATAGAAAGAACAGAAACAAGATAAAACGGAGTATGGCAACAAGTAGCGCTAATTTCTCGTACCAATGCGCAGCATTTCATTGGCAAGGGGGGTTGCTACCGTTGTAACCGTCGTAGTGGGCGGCTGAAACGTCGTCGTCGTTGTAGTCGGCCGTGATGTGCTCAAAGGTGTCGTTGGTGTGCCGACTACCAATACTGGCGACACGGTCTGTGTCGGTCGAAGCGGACGAATGACCAGTCGCGTATCATTCAGTGTCCGCAAATCCGGTGTCGTCGGTGGGAATGTTGTTCCATCATCCAACTGCATCTGCACAGTTGACATTGGAGCTGTCACGCTGCTGGTCATTTCTAACGTCACAGTGGGAGTCGGGGTAATGAAAATGGGAAGAAAGGCGTCGGACACAGAGTCGGGAGTAATTAAAACGCTGGTAACTGGGTCGATGACTGAGCTGAGTGAGCTCGTTCCAAATGGGAAGGCGATAGTTGATAAAAAAGAGTAATCGACGGAACTAGTAAACCAGATCATTGGAGTAAAATCCGAAATGAGAACGGTTGATGGTGAAACAGGCAGGATTGGGGTTTGGTCCGGCGGAGAAACTGCGGGGCTTGGTAATGATGTAATTAACAAAACGGAAGACTGAAGGGAAGGTAGAGGTATCACGGGGACTCGGGTTGGCGAAGGCCGGCGAGAAAGGTGAACAAAAGGATTGAGCGAGGCCAAAATTGGATTTAGCAATTCGTCTTGAGCAATATCCACCACGTACAGCGAGGTGTTGCTATTGATTTCCGACCCTCCGGATTGACCTACATAGACAAGTGCTTACATATGACAAACACATTCAGCAACTCATCGACATTTCAGTATGTAATGTATTTTACATAGTATTATGCAGACAATCGAAATACTATGCTCAAAAAGTATTTTTTTGTTGTTTATCTCCGAGCTGGATGGAAGCTTGACCTTAACAAGACTTTAAAATGAATGTGATAAGTTGTGGGCAATGTTCCCGTTAAATATGACTGCATTAACACGCCTAATGAGAAATACAAGTATATACTCGTACATATAGATGTATTATCTAAAACAGAATAGACAGACTAATGACTACGTGCGATAGCTATACGATGAACCGTAGAAAATACATTGAACAGCTCGTTCGCCGATTTAACATCGCTTTTGTTGAGGTTCCACTCTATACAGTATAAAATAAAATTAATTAAGAACTCACTCATACTATTGATGCCATCTGTAACGAAATCACAGAACTTACCGTCTACAAATCGTAGCGAGATGGCAATTAATGCCACCAAGTACCTCACAGACATATCGTCGATTTGCCACAGTCGTAATATTTCTTACCGTAAGCAAATTCATCACATTCTTATTAACAATTCAACTAACGATTTGTACGTTGTAATTTTCCAAGTGCTCGAGCAACTGGATTGCTGCTGGAACTGCTTCTACCAGTTCTAAACAGCAAAAACAAATCACCAAAAAAACCCGTGATAAATCATCCACAGTCTTACAACATTCCCGTATGCATATGCCAGAAAAACTGGCACAACAAATCCTGTAGAAAAGTCGGTTAACGGTGGCAAGGGTATGCTGAAGCCCGTGGATCAGTGCTCGGCAGTCACCATGATAGGAAGACAAACATAGTAAGTGCTGGCAACTCCAGCTAGAGTAGCATCTTCCTGCCCTAACTCCCGTCTAGCATTACATATTTACCCAAGCGGCTGTGTGTGGAGCAATGGTACGCTAAACCAAGTTACCAGAATTGTATGGATTACGCATCCATGGGTACATGTTTGTCCCTGAAGCAGCCGAGCATTATGGTGTTACGCACCTTTACTCATATGATTCACCATCGATCGATACCACTGTGAATCTCAGGATCTGCAGTATGCAACTTTCTGCCGCGATCTACTTCGGAAGTTTTGGTGGTATGGAATGCATAGTTATGAAGGTCAACGCCTATTACCTTATACAGCACACTATGCTGTGCTGTGCTATAGACTCTTGATGCACAATACAGCGTTGGAGCAATGTTTATGCGATCCTAGATCAGTGCCTATTTTTAAATCAGTTATTGTACGATTAATTCCGATGTAACACTCCTTAGATTTATTCATTTTATGATAAAGGGCAACCTTTAAATAAAAGTTACTCTACCGGTATTTCCGTTACTGTGCATGTACGTACAGTTAATGCTATAATAATCTATATAATTATCCTTAATTCTTAATCTAATCCACCTTTCTACATTCACGTTCATTTTGAGAGTGCAGATAATTATTTTAGAATGTCATATTTGTTTAAACTGCTTTTGAATAATTTTGTGCGTTAACGCACTGCAATGAAGTTGTAGGCGTAAAACAAAACGACTAAATTAATGTAAGCAAATACATAGCGCCAAATTCTAACGCATGTTTGGAATTAACAGCATACTAATTATGACGAACATCTTACGATAAAAACCGTGAAAATTCAACTGGTAAAAGTGTTCAGACCCACTGAAATAATTTAAAACAATGGCTATAATCTTATCGGTAAAACAACACCATCGGGGCCAGTGTCAAATGGTGTACTCACATGCGATAACAACCGATTCTGGAAATTGTCGAATAATCTCCATTTGTATGTATTGCTATCAAGTTGATAAATTTTAGGACCTTTTAAGTTATCCTAAAAGTTTCCCCATAGTAATTATCGATTTCAGGCAAGGTTATATCTTGATTGTTACTTCCGTTTGTGAACTAAAGTTTTTCAAACACATAACTGGTTTGATTGAGCTCGTGGATGGATTTATACTAGTAAATACAAAGAAAAGCAAAATGAAACAATTTTTTGTCGTTATTTCGGTGGTTGCCGTGGCTTCTGCATCCTTTATTCCCAAGCGAGAACAAGGAAGTAAGTGGACATTTGTTCTGCATCCAGACCGAGTTCCTAAACCCTGCTATGCTGACTCTGGTTTCATCTAGATGCCTCGCCTGCAGCGCAGTATGATGCAGTATTAGCGGGAAATGCTATTGGTCAACAATTTCTCAATATGCTCGCTGGATTTAAGCAAGGTGAACATGTAAACTGGCAATCAACAAATACAGATACAGGTCGATCGCACCAAGTGTGGGCAGTTGAGTAAAATAATTTGAAAAATAATTCTGTAAACAATTTTGTTGTTTATTTTCATCTTTATTAGTGCAACTTTTTATTGCGGATCCAGTGATGTTAAAACTAAAATCCGTTGATGCGGCCGCAACGAGTAGGGCGGGGCTTAATAAAAGAGGGTAGGGGCCAGTTTTTTAAAGTTTATAACCGCCCCTCCCAAAAATTCAGTAGTTGATGTTTTTCTGTGAACTTTTTTGTAAACTATTGAGTGCCTTTAAAGGTATTCGATAATGGTTAGCAAAAGATTCTAGCGCGCATATTGCCCGTAGCGGGCTTAAAACAAGAGTGTCTCTCATAGACTTGTACGTTAAAAGCTACCATCCCAAGAATGTGGTTGCCTAGAGCGCGGAACACGTTGGACCAGACGTTATTGATTAAAAGAAAGTGAGAAAAGGACCACTAGGAAACCACAATATTCTTTGCCAGTTCTCACGCGCCCAGAATTTTTAAAAAATTATTGACTGCACATGAATATTTCTTATTAAGCAGTGCGATTTTTGGAGGAAAATTGAAAGCAAAAATTCCGCTTCCGCTCCCTGCGTATTAACTTCTACCGCAGAAATATAACTAAAAAAGTTGCTCTAGAACAAGAACTATCATAAAAAAATAAGAAAAAGATTTTGTGAGTTAATGGTAGCAATGGGGAATATTTTGTTACTGCCCACACTTGGTGCGATCGACCTGTATATCAACAATAAACAATTTTTTTTAAACCGCACTGTTGATTATCTCGATTTTCTGCTAATATATTGATGATCACCCAAAATCGTTATAATAAGATACTAAACTGTAAATGTTTAAGCGTACAAAAGCAGTTCTGCGCGCAACTGGAGTAAGTTTTTATAAAATTGCATCAAAACCAAAGATAGATTCAGGAAAAAGGTTAAGCAGACACACATTTCCCTTTCGACTTTTCTCTACCACTGCATATACAAGTATACTTCGGAAGTACACGTATTTACGCGTGTAATACAACATTATACAAAATATTATGAAGCAAAATGAAATATTGCAGCACCAGCCCCAGCTCCATTGAACGTTGTCCAAACTAGGGAACTCGTTCAACAGCGCGATTTGTTGACGAATCTGATTGCATCCGCCCTGGGAGTTGAGGCGGCAACCGTGGAAAGTCTGATGGCGACTTTGAAAAAATTGATGGAATTCTATACGGTACAGGAAGACAGTATGACCTATCCTCCATTGCGAAAAATAGTATTTCTGGAATGTCAATAAAACAATAATGCGTAATTCCCAGTCCGAGCTACACAGGTTCCCTAGAAGTACGGTTATCAGATTATTGATTTAATAGTTAGTTGCTTACATATGTAATCTGATATGATCACTTATAACTGTAGATGGCCGAACCGTTAATTGAAGCCATTAACTTTCCGGGATTATTCGCTGGATTCCTGCAAGCTATCCTTAATCATGACATCACTCAGTGGCTGATCTACGAAGTGGCCCCAGCCACCCTCCCACCGGAAGTAAGGCCACCGTAACTAAATATATAAAAATTACAATACAATTTATTACCTTACTATTTATATTCACCTCAAATTGCTGCACCCATCAAAAATTTACGATAAAACTTTGTTATTATTATAAAAGAAAAACGTATGCATAACGAGTATCGTGCGCAGCATGATTAAATTAAGCCCAGCTGCATTATTAAATATTTTCAAATAAGCATAATACAGTTGCGAATCCGGCAACCGTGGTGATGTAGTTTTAAGAAGAGTGACTGATGAATGTTTTTAAAAATCACTTGTCCCATTTCGGTACGTGCAGCAATCTATAGAATGGTTCCTGCAACAAACGTTTAATTTGACAGGCCATTACGTCCCTGAACAACGTTCTTGGAGCATATTTTGGTCCCAGACCACCTGTTGCCCGCTCAGCTGTTGACCCGGAAGCCGTTCACAATCTGCTTAAATCTATACAGTTTCCTCTGTAAAGCGGTGCCTTGGTTAAGAAAACCCACATCTGGGAGTACAGTACATTGTGTACAACAGTAACAACACGCTTTTATACAGATAATTATGTTATTGATGTGGGAATATTTTTCTACGAGCTCATTGTTAATGTTCTGATTCATATATAAACTGGTGTGCCTGTGAAAAAATCGGTTAATTACACATTTATGAGTTTTACCGCCAACAATAGGAGAACTAGTAATATAAATATCGAAATTAATTTTAGTACTACGGTGTCTGGTAGTAGCTGCGCGCCGAAATGGTCGTTTTCTTCCTGCCAACAACACGTTCCAGATCATTAGCTTCGCATTAAAATACATATTGCGCGGTCAAGTTCAGTGTTTAATCGAGACAAATTAATCACATTCACACCATTACATAATCAGTAGTCCGACTTGTTACAGCAATATTAAGAACTGCGCGCATTATTCATAAATCATAGATACAATTTGGAAACATTCGATTGTTTATTCGTGCTTGTGAGGATCGTCTCCATTTCACGCTTTTGTATAATATCTATATGCGATCATAATGATCTATGGAAGCTGCTCTTTGAGTGTGGTCGGCGTGGGAATTGGCAGTCGCTGATATTGCTACTCTGTTATTTAAAAGTATAACATGCACAATCGCCGCAGGATACCGAAATTTACTCGTTTCCATTGCACACATCTACAAACGCATGTTTACTTACGATATAAATGTAGCTTCTTTACTTATGCGCGATATAAATCTGGCTTCAGTACATGAAATTTATTTTACAGCATCGAAACTTGAATGAACATTTTGAATTAGCTCTAAAAGCAATACCGAGCAGTTCTGCCTACCAATTTGCCTATTATTTTTTAAATTTTGTTTTCATACTCTTATTTTCGAAAACATGCAATTCGGTGCAGCAAAATATCTCATTTTAATTTGGTTATTTATTAATTTGTTTATACGTAGAGCCGCAAGTAATATAAAAAACACTCAACTTCTAATGGATCGTAATTTGTAAATAAAAACATACACTCTTGGTTAATGTTTTTTATCTCTGTGGTGATTGCTGCGAGATTGCCCGTAAAACAGCAGGTGAAAAACGTTTTACGGCTTCTTCAAACGATATCAACGCGGTACAATAGCAGTAATTATATTCGCATGTGCAAATTGAACAAGGTCATACATCATACACATGTCAACAATCCGACCACGGCACAATCACAAAAACCACAAATGTTTGAAATTGCGCTGCATGTCGCTCACAAAGTACTGCTCAAATATTACACTACGCTATTTTCTAAAATTAAATATTATTATTGCAATCGGATACCAACAAAAAATGCAGCGAATCTGCGCTGCAGTTCTACATTTTGTAAATAATTTTCTTAACGATGTTAGCAACAAACTGAGAAGTATACTCATAACTAATTTATTATCATAATGGTTTCAGCAATGTTGTGAAAAAGTGACCTCGAGAAGGAAACGTATGTTAAGTGTAAGCCGAATCCATAACGCAATAAACATGAATCAGTGTGTGTTCTCTTTCCGCAATCTGCTGAAAGCGAGGCAAGAAAACATGGCAAATGTTGATGGATTACCTAAACGTGCCGCAGCCCGCATACACAAGACTTCAAGGCAGTGATAATAAAACAACAAATCTGTTTTATTATGGACGTTGTGAAGGGCACAGCGATGTTTATTTCCGGGGAAGATGTGGTGTGTCCTTCTGCGCTACCGGCAACTCGTACAGTTTCGGTTTACACTCCACACCTCGCTTCCTAGCCGGAATATAACGTTAACATTCACTTACCCTTTTCATGACTGTGTTTTTGTTGCGACTTTCCACTATATAGCTTGGCTGGTAAAACGTATAATTACTCTCGTAGACTGTGGTCAGTCGGCTGTTAAGTTCAAAAACAGTTTAACGCATCACTAGCCGCCGCTGACCATAGATCTACAGGTACGCACACCTATTGTAAAATGAATATACGGCATGTCGTCAACTGCCACTTGTCAGTGATAATTGGGCAGGAAACGATTCTGTCAAAACCTTTCGATTTTTATTTCACGTCGGGTCTCTATAAACAGGGAAAACGCTATCTTAACAATAAATTTACAAAACGTTACAGAGCAGGTAAAAAACTAAAAGAAAGAGAGATAAATAAGTTAAAGGAAAATCCTTAAAAGCAGAGCTGCAAACTGCAAAGTTTAAGAAGGGAAGAAAACGTAACGCTGTTAGTCAGATGTACGAGTACATATGTTTTTTCGCATGTTTAAATCAACAGTGGGGGTCAATCAACAGTCTTTTTCTTATCGATGATAGTTAAATACTTTGCAGTATTTAGGCAATTAAAAACCTATTAGTTAACCATCTAATACACTTTTCCTTAATGATTTTCCTCAGTGATTTCAACACCCAAGCAGCACAGGATGTAAAGTATCCTCATAGAGTATCATGGTTGTGCATGGTCTCCGGAGCCTGCACATCAGCATATGCAGCATGGATTGCGAAAAAAAGCGGGCGGGTAAATTGGTCAGTCTATACGAGTATCATTCGTGTATAATTTACAGGTCGTACATGCCCAGTTGCGAATCTCACAATCAGTTGAATGGCCTTGGTTGCGCTGGCCATTGGCGCCTGCACTCTCACTCTCTCACTCTTCTCACCCTCGCGAGGTCCCCTTGCACCGACTGCACTGATCTAATTGGCTGGGTGACGTACGCAGCGTCTGTACGTACGTTCCGCTCAGATGCACCTGTTGGCCAACGTACGCTCACCACGTACACATAGAATGTCGCAGGTTATCCGAAGTCCCGGCTTAAAGATGGTCTTCATTTCCGAGGTGTGCGTTCAGTCGGGCAGGTTACAGCTTGAGCGTTGCGGAGGGTTACCACACTACTTTGTGTTTGAGTTCCGTTAAGCTTTTGTGGTAACTTCAACTTGTAATGGTACTCAGAATCTTTGTTTTGTGAGTGATTATTCCAAATTGACATTGTTATTCTTGGACTACGCAACGGCTCCGTAGGCCGCGACTGCATTTCCATAGTGCGGCTGTTCTGAAATTCTGTTGGATTTTATTTGGCACCACTGCAACAGCTGCTTTCCACCGGAACTGCATCCGAGCCACCATGCGGGAGCGGACGGTGGTCGTATCGGCTTCCTTTGCCCTGTCTATTGCCGTTGTGTGCCAATTGTCCAGAGTAGTCAGTGCTCAATCCACTAACAATAATGTATCCGGTAAGCGCGCTAGCCACAAGTGTTTGTCGTGCTTCAGTGTAATCCCATTCAGTGCAAAGATGAATTAAGCAGGTCAGGCAATTTTGTAGATTTTTTTGCGGCTTGGAAGTAAAAGAAAATAAATTTTAAAAAATAAATTTTTTTTCTGCCATATACGTATTAGGCACACTTTGACATTTAAATTTGACATTTACGTGACTTTATTTTCAGAAATCATTACACTACCATCCCATCCGTATCAGAATACAAATATCAGTGCCACAAAAGCTATACTTTCCATACCATAGAAGTAGTGCTACTGAACGAGTAGCAAAAGAAAATTGCCTAACTTGTTTTTTGCGCTTCCGTACACACATACTTCCATATTATATGCAACATGAAAATATTAATACTTCCAGGATCTGACATGGTACACATAATGCAGTTATTTTGTACGCTGTTTACTCTGTACGTATACAGATATGTTGTTAACGTAGACAGTTTTTTCACATCATAGCCATCGCCGTATCCCTTCCCGCCCCCACGCCCACCCTACCCGACACACAGAACCGCACGGATGAGCCCCTAGACGAGATGAACAGCATTGGCAAACTGCCCTTTCTCAACTGCACCGGCCTGATCGCGTTCGAACGGACACTGGACAGCGCTGTGTCACCGGCCATGATCTTAAACGAAGCCAATCGCACCCAGACGACACTGGCCGGCGGACTGAGTAATCGCTCCACAGAGTTGACCTTTCCCTGTAATCGGCAGTGCAGCAATGCTGAGCACTGCGTGGCCTACATCACTGACTACAACAAGGCCAAGTGTCTGCTGCTGTATCAGCGGCCCAAACAGTCCAGGGCGGAACTGACGGCCTTGGCGGGATTTGCCTATTATGAGAAGATTTGTCTCAATGCACCCGGTAAGGACATACAGTAGACAAGTCAGTAATAACCGTAATTCAGTTGCGGTAAATTTCGGCAATGACAAGACTTTTTGCCGTTTAATTTGGTACTACAGATGGTTTCAAATTATTTATTTTATGCTGTGCCGGTAAAAATTTTGGTTTGGGTTTTCCTTTTGTAACATTAATAGTGATATCGTGAAATACGTGCTGCATATACTGAAATCCTATAAAATGTATTTCTTAATTTGTTTTCAAGCGGAATGATTGTTCATTTTTCCAGTTGCTTAATTGTTGTCACTACATTTATTCAGTGGCAGCTATAAATTTGATAATAAACATAGAGTAGTCGGTTTACAGCACGAGTACTTATAAGATATTGTAACATACAGTGTCTATGTTACAGTACCATGTATTGTATTGTAGTACGACAGAGGCACATTAAATAAATTTTTATGTCCTCCATAGTTCAGTGCAGTGTAAAGTGTTTAAGCTCCCGCTGGGTAGTTACTGAATTTTCTCTGCCTGAAATATGGATCACGAAGTATAAAGTAATAAGCTCATCGATAATTTCGATTCCGTTTTTAACAGGCAGTAGTAACCTATTATGCGTTATCGAATTTCGATTAGTTTTTAATTTATGCATTCTGGCGAGTGATAAAAATTTGAGTAATTTTCTCCTTTAATGCAGGATTACAATGCAAGAAGGAGTGGGCGTTCGAGCGTGTGGTGGGCATGGAGCTGGTCAACAATGACGACCTGGTGCTGCACAGTGTGGCCAATCGGATGGACTGTATGAGTGCCTGCCTGCAGGAGCAGTCGTTTGTGTGTCGCTCAGCGGAGTACCACTATCAGACATCCGAATGCCGGCTCAGTCGGCATAGTCGCCGCACCCTACCGCAGGCCTTCCACCCCGCCCAGGATCAGGTGGACTACCTGGAGAATCAGTGTGCACCCGGTGAGAACTGCTTATCCGTTATGAGCGCTCAAGGAGCATTTGAAGAACGGTAGAAACATTAATACTCGTAGTTACAGCAGTGTTCTTCGCACATTAAAGTAAGCAAATAAAGGCATGACGAGGTTGGTGTCGTTAAACTAAGGAAGAATGATTTTTTTTAATAAATTAAATTCACTGCGCTGTGACTAGTGTATTTCGGAACAAAACTTTATGAGATGCATGAGACATACTCGTACATTTGCTAACTCTTTAATCAGTGTAAAAAAAGTTAATAAGCCTTGGTTTGTTTTAGAGCCAAATCTGTGTGAATTCCGAGCTGTCGAAGAGAATTTGTTTTCGGTGGAAACGGAACTGGATAATACGACCAGTATCAAAGAATGCGAAACATATTGCCACCAAGAAGAGAATTTTGTCTGCCGAGCATACCGATATGATGAGGACACTAAGACCTGCGTGCTGAGTGCAGATGATCGTATTAGCCTGATCAATGCAAACAACGATCTACAGCAAACCCGTTCGGCGCAGGATAAAAGTCTGACAGGTTTCATGGAACGTGGGGATTGTGTTGATGGTAAGGAAACCGCATAATATCACCTGTACACATATTATTGGAAAAACAGCTGTTCTAGCATGCAGATCACGCGTGTTTTTTAAGTAGCAAGTAGTAGTTTCTTGTTTTTTTTGCGTCCTTTTCTTTCTTTTTGCGTATTTATTTCTAATTACTGATTACTATTTAGTTTTTTTTTTGTTTTAACACATCATTAGAATTTACCACAGTAACCTTGAAAACAGCAACACGTAATATTCATAAGAATTATCTTTTTTCCACTGATCCAGTTGATGCAATTTCGTTCTGTTTAACTAATGATCTGCGGGATACAAAAACTTTTCGGCGGCATACAAGACCATGCACATCGATAAAGAAGTTGATCTAGATATTTTTTCCATCGAAAGCATATAAACGAGCAATAAATTACGCGTTACCTTTGGCGCGCCCGTTACTCCCTGCCCAGTCTGTTCAGGCGAATTTACAGCAGTACCAGTGAGCAACAGAAGCTGAAGAGCGTTTGTGGCGCATTTACGGATGATCACCGGCGCGTTACGTTGAGTGACCCGGCGGGCACATCTCTCGCTTACAGCGCTTAGCCGGCGCTAATTTCCGGTCTCCGGCATATATAGTGGCATGCACCTACAGCTGACCGCTTGACTGCCATCGGTGTGATCGCTGCAGTCCTGACCGCAGGCTGGACATGCTCTGCCGGCTGGCGTGATTGCGAGAGAGTGCTGCGCGCCAGTGTATTCATGGGTAGTTAAGATACACTGCCAATTAACGCTGCTAGCTAATTGTCTGTTGTGTTTTATAACAGTCAGCATGAGCTGCGGTCCCAACTCCATGACGGCCATTCTCAAGCTCAATCGGCCATTCAACGGTCGATTTTATCCGGTAAGTACACTGACAAAACAACTGATGACTAATTACATAGTAGCTAACTTTACGAAACGGATCGTAACTTCACCTCCTTAAACAAAGGTCAAAGTAATCTCACCAAGCCATAGATTTTCCACAAATGCAGTTATATGTTTATTTATGTAAACGCTGTCTAAAAAAACACTGCCTAAAATTCACGATATTACAATGTACAATGCATAGTGATTATATCAATTTATAAAATTGTTTGCGACCGTTAAATTTGGATATAGTAGATCGTTTTTGAAATGTCATTATAATGCCCATGTTTGATCTCCTTTTCCAGGCGGATAAACCAAATCTGTGTGTCGTGGTCGGGAACAATGACTTCCAAGTGGAACTAACTATGCAACTGGAAGGCAACGAGTGTGGAAGCAAAAGTCTGGTACGCAATTGCGAGTAATCTTCTCTTAAAATAGTGATGATTGGCCATACACTTGACACGAAACTGTTTCAGTAAAGTTATTACTTTATGAAATGTGCAGCACATGCGGCACGTTTTAAACTTTGCCTAACTCTGAATTATTTGCTATCCGCAGCCCATGAAGCGTACTTTATTGACTGGCAATGACCTTCGCTGTTTTTGCTTTTCACATGTAGGGTAACGGAACCTTTGTCAATGACGTCGTCGTTCAGGTATGTGTAAGACTGTATCTGTACATTCTGTTCGCAGCACTTTTTTGGGGTACTTTATTCGACAATTTGGAAATCGAGAAAAGTGGTAAAATTCTTTAAAAAAAGTCTGTCTTACACATAATAGCTCTAGCTGTAGTTCGTTCAATGGTTTCTCTTTAATGTTGCGTTAGCTCCCTTAATTAAAAGACTATGCCGGCCAAAACAACATAAGTTTCTGCTTTTATCTCTCCTCATTTTTTAGATGCATCCGATCGTTCTACGCGACAGTGATCGGCGCATCCGAATTGCCTGCGACTACCCGGCATCCAAAGTAACTCTCATCCAGGACCTGACCGTTGAGGGTGTACCACCCCGTTTCATGGACCCAAACCACTCCAACGTCACCCAGACCGTCTCGGGGGTAGCGGCGCTGCCAAAAGTCCGCCTTCAGATCCGCAACGGTTCGGGAAAGGAGGTGCAGGGCGCCCAGTTGGGGGATCCGCTGATTCTGTCAATTGACATGCTCGACGAGGCCAGTGCTTTTGGGATATCAGCCAGCGATCTGGTGGCAATGAGCGGAGCGGGTGATGAGACGCTGCAGCTGGTCGACGGAAGAGGGTATATCAGATGAAAAGTTGTTAATAACTAAAATCGTTGTACTTAAAAAATTGGTATGGAATGTTTCACATGCATATCGGGCTTTCCCAATTAATTCAGGATTCACCAGAGCTTTACTGAATTTCAAAACATGGTGAACACAGCTACTTTTCAGATGTCCCGTAGAGCCAAGCATCTTTCCCGCAATGGCCAAAATTAAAGATGACCACTCATTAACCTCTCGATTCGCCGCTTTCAAATTCGCATCTGATTCCATCGTAAAGTTCCGCGTTACCGTGTCTTTCTGCTTGGACAAGTGTCCATTGGTACATTGAACTTTCGTAAGAGACTGCAAGGTAACATAATTATCTGTGCATTTGATTGCAGCCTGACTGTTCCGGCGCTGCTAGTCTTCTTCGTAAACGTCGATCGGCGCCCAATAACGCCACTTCCGTGGAAGATCGCGAACTGACCATGGAGTTGGCTATTCTAGTGGATACCGAGAATAACAGGGCACCCACTATTGGCAAAGACGGCGTTGTTAATGAAGCCCAGTGTAAGTTAAACTTAGTCAAGATACGATATAAATACGAAGTACTAATAATTTTGCTAATTACATATATCATTAGCGTTGGTACAATCCACGAAGAATATCTTGCTATCGATTTATTCTTCAAATAACAGAAAAGTGTCTGCAGAACAAACTCAGCTCTTTATAGATTATTTAAATAATATTTTTATGGCCTATATTAATATAATTTATTTCAACTTTGGATATCCTTGTAGTACCACCAAGCCGGTCGCTAGTGTGCACCAAGACCGCCCTTGTATGGGCGTTAGGGATAACAGCCGCCATAATCCAAGTGGCCACACTGTCCTGCTGTTTAGCCTTTATTGCCATGTACCGGCGTCTTAAGCGGCAGAAAGGCAACTACTTCGAGCCGCCCTCCACCGCCAGCCAGACCATGGCATGGAGCGGTTCCTCCCAGTCATCCAGCTCCTCAACGGTCAACAATCCCGATGTATATCGTTTGTATAAATAGATCTGTTTTCTCTTGTTTTTCTGACGTTTTGGTTTTGTTGTTGAAGTATACTCGTTAAATAGTGTGTACCAGTTAATGCAATGATTATTATTGTCGTTCTTGTTTTGTTCCCATGTTGCACTTGATCATTTTACATTGCTTGCGATAAGTTCCACTTCCTCGATAATTGTGTGATATTAATTAACGGACACCGGCATTAAATGGCATTCGGAAAAATAATATGTTATTTGTCTACAAAGAAAGCTGGTAGTTTCACAAACCTTCACACTGAACGCAACTACCGTATGTGCGCCGCAATCGCAATTTATGTTGGACGTATTACAATATCAATTTTCGTGCATATAATTTACTGTGCAAATCAAAGCTTGTAATATTTTGCTTAAACCCTTAAAACCGTTGAAACTTTTAAAACTAAAAAATTAACCATCCTTCAACTTTCAAGTACCTGCAATGCAGTTTGTTGTGTTGTCTGCGATGTCCTCGAAAATCTGTTTAATTCCATACTCATATGAAAGTTTTATGTGATTATGCTGTATTACTGTTACCATAATAAGTACGCAGCCGCAAATAAATGTAGTTATAATGACAGCAACGTTTGCTACGGCATTAATGAAGTCGTACAATCTGCGTACAATTGGTGTTTTTCTTATCTAGAAAAATTGTGGCCGCAATACAATCGAAGTCTGATAACACGTCAAATGTCCCATTCACCGGCGATTATCATTGGCCTTACGTTCCTGGTACACGAAAAGATGCATCACACGAATAACGTGACTGACAAAGTCTCATTTGCGTTCGTCGGCGGTGAGCATATATAAAAAGAAGAACGCCATCCAGTTTGCACAGCGGTCATTGTTACAAACGATTTTACTTACACCACGAATATCGTTTGTGGTTGCTCCGGCTGCGGTGTTGTTTGAAGTGTATTGGAGTTCGACTTAATAAAAACATTACAGTAAATATTGATACCAAAATGACGCTGAGCGATTTTACCAAGTCTTCACTTGAAATTGCCGTTACCGACGAGAAAGTCACCCGAAATACGATTATCCGGGCTGCGTTAACCAAGAAATGGATGCAATTCTCAGATGATGCATTCTTTATTCTCGATCTTAACAGAATCATTGACATTGTTAGGAGGTGGCAACGCAATCTACCCCGCGTCGGTCTCCACTACGGTACGCCGGCTAAATAGGTCATTCATAACTTATAACCAAAGCACACCGAAGTTTTAAACTAATTCTACCTGAATCCTATTGCAGCCGTCAAATGTGACTCGAGCCCGCTAATTCTCCGTGCCCTGGCCGCACTGGGCTGTGGTTTCGACGTCGCCACCCGCTCCGAAATCGACCGGACCCTAATTCACGTGGTCAACCCGGGCCGTCTCGTCTACTCTAACACCTGCAAATCCGTCTCCAATATACTTCATGCCGCCCAGCACAACGTCCGCCTCACCGTCTTCGACAGCGCCGACGAACTCCTCAAACTCAAAACCTACCACCCCACCGCCCAGCTGATGGTGCGTCTGCGCTACAACAACCCGCACGTTGACGCTAAAGGTCAAATGCACGGCCGTTTTGGCGTGTACGAAGCCACCGCCAAATCTCTCATCCAGAAAGCGTGGGACCTAGGTCTCAACGTGGTAGGCGTGGCCTTCCACGTCGGAGTCGGAGTCAACGGCGAAGCCACCGCCCACATCGGGGCCATCGAAAAGGCCAAGGAACTCTTTGAATTTGCACAAAACAACGTTCGACCGTTCTCCATCCTAGACATTGGCGGAGGATTCCGCGGCGACTGGAGTAACGCACGATTGACCTTTGAAGAATTCTGTCATGACCTGGGCAGTGCCTTAGACACCCACTTTCCCCCGGCGTCGGGCGTGCGCCTGATCGCCGAACCCGGCCAGCTGATTATGACCACGGCGCAGTCGCTGTTTCTGCCGGTGATCGGAGTGAAAACAGTGAAAGAGGAACAGCGCCAACCGGGTTATGTGCTGGCTGATGGTGTCTACGGTGCATGCCGACCCATTGATATCTTCAAACCCAAACTGAAGATGCGCGTGCATCCCTTAGACGAACCGTCGTTCGACGTAACTGAGCAGCCCTGTCAGCCGTCGACTTTATATGGACCGACATGCAGTCCGGAAGATATCATAGCCCAGGATCTCGCCCTGCCAACACTGAGCACCGGAACGTGGTTGGAAATTCAGAATATGGGCAGCTACGCCAAAGAATTGTCATCAAATTTCAATGGTGTTCCCACAGCTAGTACCGTTGTCTGTATATCTGAAGACGACCTACATCTCCTGAAGTAGTCCGAAGTTGCGTGAAATCGTCCGTACGTTCTTGCTTTTATGTAGTTCTTGTGCAAACCAAACTTAATTATTGATATTGTACATAAGTTGTTAGTACAATATCTGCTCAATAAAGTCGGGCAATCATTCGTACAATATGATTTATGAGCGCTAATAATAATAGGATGTTCATATTTCGATCTTCATGAAAACACTGCTGTAAATGACTCTGATAGAACACATCACAAATAATTATAACTTCAATGACTTCAAGAAATGCAGAACCTAATTACTACAGCATTTACCAGGCTACAGCAACACCGCCAACACATTCCATAACACTCAGAAGTGTTAAACTTTTGTTTCCGTTAAATCCAGATCGCAGACGGAAGTGGCAACCGTTCCTTCAGATAACTGGGAGGCCACCGAAGCACACTTAGACATGTGCGCTTTCACTTCGTCCGACACTGCCTTCCATTCCACAATGCAGAAACCAAATTGTCCTGCGACACCGGCCACCACGAGAATCGCTAGCTGATAGGGTAGAGTTAAGCATGTTGAATACGCAAAGGAGATTAGGTTCCCAATCGCCTACGACGGATACCGGCACTTGTGCAGTTGGTAACAGTAGTGTTGCGTGCAAGCTGAAAAGCGCTATATTACCTGATACCCTTGAAAAACAGCGAATGCCGCCACAGGATTGTGTGGATGCAGTGTATCCAGTAACGAGAAAAGCTACAAGAGCAAAACTTTTCGGTTCTACACTGCTTACAATTAAGCAACCTATCGCCTTATTGGTGCTACCGGATTGTTCCAACCGGCGTCGCCTACGAGGAGAATATTTTAAATCACAGGTAAGTGCAACATCTCCAAAAATGCTGCGATTTTTCTGAAAAACATTCGTGCCAATACGTACCGAATCCGAGAAGAAACGAGCAAATCATGGCAAGGGAGGAGCTAGCGTAAAATAAAACAGTAAGCCCGTCATCGATCAACAATTGTACATAGAATATGGTGCTTACGTACTCTATGGCAAAGTAGGAACGCTTGTCGGTTTCCTCCAGAGAAGCCGTGTCGGGTAGCGTTACAAAGGCAAGATAGAAAGCAGCAAAATGAAGCAATAAAGCTATCAACGTTCCCAAATCGCGGCCACGTTTGCGAAACCAGTTGGCAGACAAACCGTATATAAATCCCCCTGCGAAGCAAAAAGCTGAAGTTTTTTCAAGTATCAGTGTCATTGTATCTGTTACCGGCGATTTGTCCAGCACCGACCACCATTCCATTTAGACCAACCAGTCGCTCTCGTTCGGTGCCAAAACGCAGTGTATAGCCCAGTGCCGTTCCATAAACATTCATCCAAAAGGTCATTTCCATTCCTGTTCAATTTAAGTATGAAATACGTTTATCGCCTTACTTGGAACATTCGACGTAAGTTTCTCTTACCCATGTACACAAACATGGGAGAAAGAAGAAGCATAGGCTTTGAAAGTGCCATCTTTAACTCATCATCTGCAACAATGTTGCACCCGCTACAACGTAAATAAATAGTTAAACGGAACGTCCTGGTTCTCATTAGCTGGGAATGAATTTCCGTGGTTTATGACACTGTGACAAATTTTTCTACCGTGGTCACTTCGAATTCAAACCAAAAAATGGGCTACAGGCAGGTCTACGAGTAATCTGCTAATGACTCTTGGTCGGAAATAAAATATTTGCACATGTCCTTATTTACTTACCTATTATTCGGCGAAATATGGATACAGCGGTAACAGCTATTGACTCGCGCCTAGAGATTCATAACAACAGCGACATACAAACGTGGTAATACATTAGCATTTCAAATCTGCTTTATCAGCAAAACCATGTCTTCGCAAACTGAATATTTAGAATCTTTCTTCCTCCTGACCTTGAGTCAGCGGTTCGCTTTGTCACGCTAATAATAAAGAACCAGGGATGGCGAAGCATAGCCAGTGCCAGGATACCCAGTGCCGAGGAAGGCAGCAGAATGGCGAAAAATATTGTACGGACTTTATTCATATCGGCAAAAAGACTGGTGAGAGTGTAAAAGCAGACAATCCAGCAAACTGATCTGTAATCAAACAACCGTAATAATTAGATTGATTGTTACTTGTTACTCTATAAGTAGTAACGTTTTGATATAATGACTAATGTGTATGTCCCGCTACCCGCAATGAAATATAACCCAAAATATTCCAGTATTTCTGCAAACAGAAAATATTCAGTATTACCACTAACAAATGTTCAAAAACTGCTGCTGCTGTTACCTTCCGATTGTTTCCTTGGTGGAATTCACCGTGAGGAAATAGCTGTAAACCGTCCATAAAATGCCACTCCCAAGACCTTGGGTCATGGCTGACAAGTATAATGTGATTTCCAGTGGCCGGAAATAGGCGGATAGGGAAAGTGTCAAGAGCGCTATAAATTACGTAAACTCGTAGTACGTTCATGGTTCCAGTTTCTCTACAAACGCTCTTAAACTGACTGGTGTAGTTAGGCAGTCGTATGACCTTGTGTGGAGCAGTGTAAAACGTGCAGTTTATTATGCGAACATTAACATTAACTGCAAGGCAGATAACAAAAACAATCAACCAGAATTTAGAACTCAACTTAAAAAACATCAGCTGCACAACAACAATGACATTCCCGAACAGGACAAAAATTACTGAATTTCTGGTCTGTTTTTCTCAAAACCTAACATCAATAAACAGAAATCTTTTTCACAGCATGTGTGTTGTTTCCAGTTGTTATTTTGGTGCGATTTTGTCTTCGTTAACTTCGTTGTCACCATTAAATCATCTTATGACTTCTTTGCTTTCACATAAAGCGTTGACTTAGTAGATGTCAACCCTAATTTTGTAAGTCAAGTCCAGTTATTCTCTTCAGCCCAACACCACTGCAAATCCACCTTACCGGCTCCCACAACGATCAGGAGTTTCGATCCAAAGATTGCTGCCTGTTCAAATGAAGAACAGCTTCCTTATGCGTGACTGAGGTTGTATAAAAGGTTCATAAGTAATTTATAAAATCCGGCTGATATTAACAATCATTGCTGACGGTGGCTGTACATTAATGGTCACGTTTTCTCATCAATGACCATTATTTATTCCGCAGAATAGTGTCCCTGTTACTTGCACAATTAATATTGAGTTTTTAATATGTATTAGCTATACTAAAACTAGTTAGCACTTTAATTTGCAGCATTTGTTACGTAATCGTGTTCCTTACCAAAGGTGGTGAGAGGGCGTACGACACTGCCAACGACGCTGTCACAACCAACTGATTAGTAATTAACCGGTGCCATTTGCGTACGGTAATACGGCGATCGAAATCAACGTTTACCAAAATTGAGGGCCAAACAAATGTAGCCCATTGTCGGTGTGCCTTGGAAGTGCTACGAAAATCCATATCGGTTTGATTATCATAGAGCCGTTCAATCAGCGAAACGCGAGAAAAATTTCTTACTGAATCTTGAACTCCGTGAAGTAATATTGTCTAAACGAAACATAGAACTCTTAGTTTTAAAACGTCCGTAATGCATAGATGACAGATACTGTACTATATTGCACATGAAAGTAATTCAGCAAACAGGGAAGAACGAGACGCGTTACATGCTGCTTCTGGAAATACAGATCGCATCACTGCACCGCCTGTCTGTGGAAATAAAATTTCGTCATAACCTGCGCAAGTGGGCTGCATTACCTCGGACAACATGCAGGCTAATAATGTTCCCATACTGAAGAAAAACCCGAAACTCAACAACACAATATTCCAAAGCTCTTTACTCTTAACGGATGATATCTGCATGATAAGTTTATGTCAATTTTCTGCAAATAACTACAAGTGACGAAAAAGTACAATTTCCGTTATCCAGAGCAAGTTCAAAATACTCTCTGTTATATACGGCCAGACTGCCCTGTGGAAGATTATCCGGATATCTATTGTGCATATTTATTTAGATTTTATTATTTGCCACTCCTCCCTGGATAATATGCAGTGTTGAATATTGATCAACGTTATGCAGAAACGACATATGCAGGGGTAAAACCCGCTGTTTATATTGTTCTACACGACTACTCGGCACAAGCTCTACTGAAATGAAAAGGTCCATCATCGACACATATAGCGCATATATGGTGTGCGTATTTGCTATGAAACAGCTCCGTGAACTTTTGCAAAAAGTACAAGAGATAACAATGCTAACGACAAGCACCAAGAAGCAAAATTCAGCCAAAACAATTTGTTAAGTGCGAATCCATTGTAATTATATACACACAACCACACTACAATGAAAACTAGCGTACACACAGTATAATTCAATGTCAACTCACGGCTTATCCAGAAACACTTCTGTGAGCAAGGTACTTTATGAATATGGAATATGATTCATCACATTTTAGCATAATATATTGGCAGAACATCTGCATCAACTAAAAGTAAAGCAATAACTAAAGGTCACATACGCTCTATGTCGCATTTAAGCGCATCCTTTCTCTCGGAACCAACGTAGCGGCTTCTCAAATAGTCCAAACAATCCGGCACGCAGATCACTTAAAGCGACGAGGAACAGCAGCGGATCCATTAAGATTTGCACGTTGAACAAGAAAATAATATAGGGTTGGAGCGGCGCAAACGTGTCATTCGACTCATTAAAGGCATAATACATGTAGAACGTTGCATTTGGGGTCCAGCAAATGACCACGCTGATGGTCAATAAGGTTAGTATCAACATGGGCTGCAAAGCCACTTTCCGTCCCATCTTCTTGTTACCGTTGGCCGTTGCCACGGTGGACGCTCCTTCCTCTGGGTCCACATGCTGGCTGTGAGATATCTGTCCCTGATGTCCTGCCTTACTGTTGGACACATGGTTTGTCTGGGTCACCTTCACAAGTAGAAAAATGCACAAAATACGTGTAAATGACTAGCCAAAATAATATATATTAATATGTAAGTTTTTAATGACTGTTAAGCTGTCCATACAGCTACGCATTTAATTTCCACAGAGATCAGGTTTTACCAGCGCATAATTCGATTTTCTTACCGGCGGTGTTGCTGAAACCACATACAATAACGTGCAGTCGTGATTCAAGCGCACATATTCAGTAATATATTACCAAATAATTAAAAAAGCCCGAAACTCTCTGAATGCTGTAAGTATAATGTTATGAAGAATTCCATTGTCAACTCGTTATCAAGATCACTGACATAATTCTAACATAGTGACCTTTTCCGATCAACTTTTCTGCGATACTATATGGTTTTTGTATTTAAATCATGACAATATATTACTATTGTCGTTTCCCGAGTGAAATTTTACATTATTCTACAGTATACCTGGGTGGGGTGGAGACGGCGCAGCTCATTTTGACGTCGCTGGTGCTTGTACAGTATAAACGGATACGCCCCAACAATGATGGACAAGGGCACGTCGAGCAGCAGAATCATGGATGCCGCACTCCACGCTTGTTGTGCCTCCGAGTTGAGACCACAGCCCGTTTCGTACAAATCCTTCCGGTAGTACAACATATCAATGAAGAAACCCGGGAAGACAACCACATGCACGTAGATCCATTCCGCCGCGCAGATCGCCACGAACACCGAGACCTTCTGGTTGGACTTGTAGGATATGGGGAAGATGATGGCCCACAGGCGGTTGATGGTGATCAGCATGTGGGCATTACATGCCATAGCTTCTGTAGGGTATCCCAAGAAAACAAAAAGATTAACGTCGGTTAACAATATGAGGAAATTTTAAAGCAATCTAGCCGATGTCGTAAATCATATTAGAACTGTCAAAATTAAGCCGCAGGTGTGGTACCTTTGTAAGAGTACTACGTTGTGGCCTTAATTGGCAGTTAAATCGGCTTTTCAAGAGACTAACGTCAGTCGCGAACGCTGCAGAGCCCGAATTGTACCGGATTTTAATGAGGGTTTCATAAAATTGTTACGGGAATACTCCGTATGGTTGTCAATGGAGCCACGCAGTGTGAAGAAACTTCAATTAAGCGATGGTTGGTGTGAGCGGCGGGAGGGATACGTCTATTCAAAATCTACAAGTGGCGCTTAACGGGCACGTCACGGTGTGGTTGGCTAAACAAGTGGTACCAAATGCGCGACACACTGTAAACGAAATGAGTACGGAATAAATGAGATTCGTCAGGTTGAGGCTAATCCGCCAGCGGATCTCCGCGGGAATTGCCGCGCTATTCATTCACATGTTTGGGAATAGAATGGTGGTAAACAAACCGTATCCTGTTTTTCCTGCGTATCCATGTGGTCATAGCGCAGATGCCTTGTAGCAATATTATGATATTCATGCGATGTGTACCAGTACATATAATACGAGTAATAATTATATATTATACTGTATCATGAACTGTCGAATGTCGATTCGTGCAGCATTGCATTCGGCAAGTTTCGTCAACCGTAAACCGATAATGCTTCCCATTGCTTGGTATGTAAATTTATGTATAGATCTTTTGCCTGTCTAGTCACATCATGTGATACCAAGAAAGTTCTTTGTGTGGTTCCAAGTAAAAGGTTTATGCTTCCTTCGTAATTATTTATCGCAGAAACAACTTATTGTAACCCATGACGTTCCCGGCAATTGTAGCGGATAATTAAAACATAAGCTTGACTTACGTAAGGTGTAATTGGCGTACAAGTATACCGAGCAAATAGCGGGGGTCTTGTTCATCCAGTAGTTAGGCCAGATATTGATGCCGATATCAAACACATCCTCCCAGACACAGTAGAGCAAATCCGTGGCAATCAGGTTGACCATGAACACGTTAAATGGTTTGCGGGTCATGTTGCCAATACGGTAGAATAAGAAAAGCACCAGGACGTTTAGAAACACGGTGAGGAACAGCAGGATAATGGTACTGATGCCGGCGAAATTGAAGACCATCTGCACCTCACCGGCGGTGCCGTTGCCGGTGTCATTCGCTCCCGAAGAATTTACGTACATGAATGAAATATTTAAAAAGGAACTGTTAAAAATCATGTCTGACCTTGGAGATTGTGCAACAGTTATACAGTCTGTTGTCGGGTCAGCGCGACGTTAGTAACGCCGGTAATGGAGTGCGACGAAGTTGTCTGTTAGTGATAATTAGATTAATCGCAAATACATCATCCTGATTGCGACAGTCCTTTATCAAAATCTAGCGCACTATTAGGCAACGTCGACACGCGTGAAACAGGACTTTTATACGTCGCATACTGGGGTACTGGTATAAATGAATACAAGTGCGCCAAGTAAAGGCGGGAGCAGAGAACTAATGACAGCGAGAGGAAGATCGATCCCGGTCACTGTCGGGCTTGTACAAAGATTATGAAAAGGAAGTCGAAATCAACCGAGCCTGACTGTCGGGCATACACTTCCCAAAGTGCACATCATACTCTTTAATAGCAGATTAAGATTATTAGCCCCATCAACATGGAACTGCACTTAACAGATTGCGCATGCAGTACATTGCCTCACCGGCATCATCGGGGACAATGGGCGGCTGTAGTAATGGGGATTGGGGACGAATAATGAGTACGTGGGCTGTTGTCCGTACGATCTACGTTGTGCGTACAATGCATTAATAGCGGGCTGCGATGTATAGGATGTCAATACTTTTTAGTCGGCTTTGGCATGAAAAGTTTACGCTTAGAAAATTATTGTCATAAACCCTGGGCCGGCTAAAAGAAGCATACCTTGCGTGATGCAAATCTACATGGGAACAAAGGAATGGCGCGCACACGAGAGGCTGGGCAATGGTAAATTTAAGGCGGGAAGATCGGTCTTTTCAAAGTATCAATCCAGCCAAGGTTATCCATAAAATTTGATTACACCTGATTAAATTTTATTGCACGCAATAATAAGGGATTTTTTTACACTAATCTAATAATCATTGATGGTGGCTATTATAGGTGCTATAAAGTACGAGTAATACGCTCCACGATATGGTAATTGCTGCACAGACGAATACCTCGAGCACCCAATTCCTATAGGATCAATATTCTACCACTTTCCTGCTGCAGTGGTGTGGGATCCGGAATGGGAAAATTAATACTCAGACAAATATCAACAATAAAAAAGCTTTCATCTTGGTGGTTTATCAAACAAATTAACGCCAGACGATTTATTAAAGAAGATTCCACATGAGACACATTCAACTCAAAAAATTAAAAAGCCGCGATAACTTTTGTAGTGTGAAATTTATGTTTTTGTAGTGTGAAATTTATGTAGTGTGAAATTTATGTAGTGTGAAATTTATGGTGTGAAATTTATGTTTTTTGCTATAATTTTTTCACTTTGGGTAAGAGCGCCCCAAACAGAATTTTGTCTTCAAAAATCGAAAAAATCACTTAATATTATGCAATAAGCTGTGTCAGCCCCACAGGTAATCTTTTTGATCCGTCTGCATGAAAACAACTGCGGAGACAAGTGCTCTTAATCGAAAATTAAATGTGGGTGCCGTTCCGTCGCCGTACATATACAATTGACCTTGGTAGCTATAGGTTGGAGCAAAAGGCATCCCATGGCACAGTCATTTTTGACGCAGATTACGCGCACACCTACTCGCATACTGTTGTGACAAAACTGTACACCGCGTTTGGTATTACCGCTTTCACGAAGTTTCTGCATGACACTTGATTTGTAAAACACGGTTTCAGAAATCGCAAGACTTCTTTCGTAACTGCTTTGCTTGACGAGTTGATCAGGCTAGCCGCAAACTATGTACAACAGAAAAAAATGAATTTTTTTGGTTGACACGGCTGCCGCTTTTAGGAAACATTTCATTTACCGCAGATGTCAATCTAAGCCTTTGTTCGATCACGATACCTGAATTGTAAGAAAAGGTTTTTCATGTGACCTTTAAGTGAGGCTATAATTGTTCAACAACCTCTCGTGATTCATGCCATCACAAGAGAAGGGATATGCATCCGATCCAACCGATTTATTGGTGATGAATTTTGGATGTTCTTGCTAGTTGCTACAGCCCAGACGCAGTGCAAGCTGTGCAGCAATAAATTGTTTACTGGTTTCGATTTGTATGCCGTGGTAATTTATTTATACAGCTAAGTACTTAGTCTATAGTGTGAAGTGTGAACATACCATACTACAGCCATAGTAAGTTCTTGATAAAGCATGTACTATAAATGGGAAAAGTATGGCAATGTATATAATGTGCAGTTGCCATTTTGGACATAAAACTGTCCCTCCCAAACAGGTTTTCAACATTACCACATAGACACTTTACATGAATAAAAGACTGTGAAGTGGAACAATCGAATTAGAGATCGGTTACCGCCTAAAAAAGTATCTAATGGCTTCTCCGATTTCGCGTAAAGAAAACTCTTTCCGGTTAAACATGCTACAGTGTGTTGTCGTAGACTGCAAATGTAGGAAGTGTGATTTCTTAATTTATCTTACGTCCTTTAACAACACAATTATTCTAGTTCTTCGGGTGAATGGCAGTGTCATGGTCGAACAAAGGGCCGTTGTCAGGATGAAGCGATACAACTTAGGGTCACCGGCACGAACCATATTTGCGACCTCTACAAAAAACTACACCGTAACCCGGATACAAACAGTACGAACAGAAACTACCGATTCTACACCACAACCCACGCCGTTATCCTACAACCTCACATTCCTTTACGGAAAATTGCTCCGTTGGTACTTGTGGTGTGACATGGTATCAAAATGCTGACCATAAGAATTCGTAATCATCTTGTACATTGTATGGGACTCGTCCTCGTAATCTTTAACAAAAACTTCAGTTCCTGTGTTGCCAAGTACGAAAAATACTATCAAATACAGCTTACATTGCAGAGCAATGCATTGCATGATTAATGTCAAAACAGAGAGCACATGTCTACCACAATCCGCAAACCGCTTTCTGCCTGTTCTCCGTAGACCTCCGGTGAAAACTGCGGGAAAAGCTGAGAATCCTGACTGACCTGGCCATCGACACATGCACCTGATAACTCCACTCTTATCAGAAAGTCTTCCCATCCGACGGCTTCTTCAATGCAAAGCGGAGAACCGCGAGGGGATACGGTCAGGATAAAGCGCTCAGACGATGTTCGCGGGCCAGCAGTAATCTTTACTTCTCCGTTGCGGAATGCTGTATGTAGCGCGGCGACCTTTAGTTTTTTAGCTTTGAATCCTAAAGTAGAATCAGCCGTTTACGTTTTTCAGCCAGGAAAGAAAAGCTTTCCCTCCAAAAAATTAAAGTACATTGCAATAAACCGGTACTGACCAACTTCCTTTAGATTGAACCGCCACTCTATGTAACCGCGGATGTCTTGTTCAGGGTAAGTTTCGCGACCGAGGTAGATCATCTGCCAGTCGGCTTCGCATATTCTGGCCATATTACAGTACTTCCATGCACACGACTGCCATTTTTCATTTTTCAGTTGACTAACCGGGCGCGCATACAGATCTCTGGCTGCTTCATAACAAACTTCCATTCGCTTCTGCTGCACTTCTTTTCCATACGGAATGAACTGATGGTGCACCTTGTAGACACAAAGTTCGCTACGGAAGCAGTGCGCTGACTGTAAGCGGATTCGTCTTTGCAACTGATTGTGAGTAGCTGTTTGTTCACCTACGAGAAATCACGTAAGGTGTATGAGCAAACGCGTTCGTCCCTCGTATGGGAACATCGCGATCATTGGCCACAAACGCTGAACTTCACAACCAACAGAAATTGCGAAACACCGGTTTCCACTGGGCTGCATTACAACGTTATAATAATATGGAACTCCATTTTTGCATGTCTGCATTAATGTAATGCGGTCAGGGCATACTAAAAACTTATGAAAATTCGCAAACACAAATTGTGTGACCATGTGTTGAAAAAGTGTGTGGCACGGTGAACGTTGTTACTTTTTCTTGACTAGAATGTGTCTTATTTATACTTACCAGTTGGTTTGCAAGACGTGAAATTACCATAAAACGGTTAGTTGACTCTATTTTCTGTCAGTGGCTGCGTAAACTGTTGCAACAGGAACGATTCTCGACCGATCCCTTTCAGCAAATTTATTGAAGGAAATTCCGGTAAGTGCAACATGTTAGTGCGATCACTAATGTCAGAGGTAAATTAGTTTTACAAACCGTGAGTACTGTGGAGTGCGATCACGATAATTGGATTTAATTGTTAGTTTTCATTGTCTGACAGGCCATGTGTGTCTGAGTAAGTGAGATATATTGGAGTGTATGACGGTGTTCTGGTTGTCGCTGCAGTTGCGCAATAGTGCAATTTTAACTTGCATCTTTCTTCGGTTGAAACCGATCTTCCCAGTTCGATTTTGCTAAAAAGTATTCATGAATGGGAGCTGGAGATGTGTGCTGTTTGTAGGGTTTTATCTGAGGATGCGATTTCAAAAATATTTTAGAAAGAACTTAATTAATTGTGTGTTTTCATAGGAACATTTGATCGGCCAACCATCAACGCTAGCAGTCAGCTGGCAACGAATGGAGGAATTCAAGATTGGAGAAATAGTCTGGGCTGAAAGAAAATGTATTTCTATGCGTATTGGTTAAAACAAAACTCTAAATATGAAACGTTGGCAAGCAGCTTTTCACGGATCTGAACTGCGCACTTGGTATGAAATTTTTTTTATGTTCAATTTATTTCAGGCCGTTATTCGCGAAATGAGATTGTAAAGTGGCCGGCACGAATTACTGATCCCCAGCAAGGCAAAAACAGCAGGAACCTGTGCGGAAACAGAGAAGCTTCGTCCTTTGTAATGTTTTTCATGGCGGACGCTCATGTGAATGCAGCCTGGGTTCCTACCAAAGGTACTTGCTGGCCACACTTAATTAGTAGCACCTAACCGAAATTAGTGTTAACATAGTTAATTTCAGTAGCACCTAGTCAAAATTTACAATGTTTTCAGATAAAACATCAGTAGCACCTAATTAGTAGCACCTAGCCAAAATTAACACTGTATAGAGTTGAAATATCAGTAGCACATAATTAGTAGCACCTAGCCAAAATTTACATTGTTTTCAGATAAAATGTCAGTAGCACCTAATTAGTAGCACCTAGCCAAAATTAACACTGTATAGAGTTGAAATATCAGTAGCACATAATTAGTAGCACCTAGCCAAAATTTGCAATGTTTTCAGATAAAATATCAGTAGCACCTAATTAGTAGCACTTAGTCAAAATTAACACTGTATAGAGTTGAAATATCAGTAGCACATAATTAATAGCACCTAACCAAAATTTGCAATGTTTTCAGATAAAATATCAGTAGCACCTTATTAGTAGCACCTAGTTAAAATTAACAGTATTGAGTTCAAATATCAGCAGCGCCCAATCAGGACCACCTAACCGGAATTAAAATTAACCGATATATCAAACATAAATAGCACCGAATTATTAGGAATTAACTGAAATTTAAAGTCTTTAGCTGAAATACCAATAACACGGAAGCAGTAGAACTGAGCCCAAGAAATAATAAATGAACAAACAAATACATCGATTACCCATAACGCTGGTATGTGGTTTTTGATTTGCTTTTTATTTTTAGATATAATTCCTTTTGACCAGATAATTCAGGAACAGCGATCTGTAGCCGACAAGAACGGACGAAAGTGTGCTGAATTAAGAAAATGCATTCAAAATGCATCCGAAGCTCATGCAGAATTTATTAGTGTAATGCCCAATTTGTGTATGCCATGCTTCGTGTTTTAAAAAGAAGCATTTATTTTCTCGTAGAGTTTAAAGGCTTGCCAACGTGCTTCCCAGGCGGATGTGGCTGCGCACGAGAACATCGATACTCCATCACGTAAAAAACTAGTTTGTTTGAAGAAATCTTATTGTTTCCCTAACGCAAATAACAAAAAACCGAAGAGAAAATTTTTAACAGGGAACACCGGAGAATGCCAGGTGGCCGAAGAACTTGAAACATGGTACTAGGCAGCGCTGTAACAAAGGCTGCATAACTGCACTGACGGTTTCTTGGTATGTTAATTGTTCCGTTTTCGATTTCAGGGTTGAGAGATGTTTTACCGCATCTCCAAACACCAAGACGTCAAAAGCAGGAGTGCTTTTATTTTTCAGAAAGTGAGTTTGCGTTTGTTATTTCTTCTAGGTGTTATTTCATCTAGGTCTTCCAGAAAATGTAGTTACTGTAACTTTTCTGAGAATGAAGCAAAACCAGTTAAACAGGAAAGTTTTTACATATTCCAGATATGCAGAAGAAAATCACCTACCGTATCATTCTAAGTCGGCGGCTACGTCGATCGGAATGCTTTTTAAGCACCGGTTTAACGCCAGCGGCCGCACCGCCATCGGGGTCAGCACTGGAATATATCGGTCTGGAGTCGGGCTGACAGAATTTGGAAAAACGGAATTTCAACGACTTACATTAGCGCCGCTAGAGACAATTTTGCCCTGAATAGTTAAACGCCGCTTAAAATAAAATAGTTGCACACGGCAGATATTTATATAAATATCAAGGTGTCGCTAGGCAAGATTGTATTGCACCAGTAATAATAATATTTAAAACTTTGTTTTGATAACAATGAATCAGTGATAGACCTAACGAGTATGCACATACAACTCAGACATAATGTGTTGTTTTCTGGCTTCAGTAAATACACTAACCGAACGTCTCGCTCAAAGCTTGCCGTCGAGCAGTCCGGTCAAGTACAGGCCAAGCCATCAGGTGAGGAATGAATTTTAGTGCTGAGTTTGAATCAAAACTTATGTTTCCAAATTCCAATTTACCAAGGTTAAAATAATTCTTTTCACTTGGTGTGGTAGTGTTCAAAGACAGCTTTTGATTAAATTGTGATGAAAGTAATGGCTACATTGGCATGTTCAAAGGTTGTGGTGCTTGCTTGACATGAGTTCATCATGCTTTATGTGACTGTGAGAAGGTTCTCGGGCGCTTTCGGGAGAATCCCAGGGTTTGGATGGTTCGGATTCGGATGATTCGGATGACGCGCAGGTCAAAAGAAAAAATGAAAGCGCCGTTTTCGATGCGATTTGGGCCGCTGTAAGTTACTGCCATCAAATGAGTTAAATGAATACAACGATTTTTTCGTAAAATTTAGCATAAATTTTTCAAAATACCACTAACCAGGGAACATTTTCCGCCTCCAAATTCAAAAAATTTTCATGTTTTGTAAAATAGTAGTGTACTATTGTAGTATGCTTAAAAAAGTATTTTTAGCTGCCATCGTCAAGAGGGCGTGGCCAGACAACAATAAAAAGTTAGCATACTATCATATACTGTGTAATGCAGTGCAGTACAAGTTACTGGTCATTATTATGTAAACTTTTTCCTGCGGCACCGTGGACTTTTGCAGCTGTCCGCTGTCGTGAAATGCTGTAAGTAAGAGGCCCACGTGCGTCGGCTCGGGCCATTGCTGCCTGAATACACATTTTCGGAAAATTTTCATCAATTTGTGTTGTAAACAATAAGTTGTGCAAAAACTTTGTTCTGCTAATACACAGATCTGTGCTGTACTTCATAACAAATTTTTGAAAATGTGCACACAGGCAGCAATGGCACGAGCCGACGCACGTGGGCCTCTTTTACTTACATACCGGACAACTGGCAGAAAAACCTAACAAAGCAGTCTAAAAAATGCTATGATTGATATTATAATTCGTTGGGACGATACGTATCCGGTTTTTGTGGGAATCAAAAATCTGAAGTAGTTGCACAATCCTCTGTAAACAAGATTTTATCAAGATTAGGCAATTGCGACTGCTCACGGCTGTACAGCTAGCGCCCGAATAAGTTCATCCTGTATTTTGATGGTGCCCGCAGGAATGCTGCAAAGGTCACGTGGTCTTCCTAGAAATGGGTCTATGTTAGTCACCATCCGCAAGTGAATTGATTGGCAAACACCATAAAATTAACTAATCTAGACTAGAAAAGGTGTGGAATTTTTAAACGAATTGTGAAAAGGGAGATGCATCCCAGAACAGATAGGTCGAGCCGTATTTGGAAGCTGGGCGGTTCTAGTTTAGACCTCACTGTAATTCGAAGCATGCTTTCAGCTTATAACTTTAAATGAAAAAGTTGCTTGACACATACGCTGATCATACAAAAATGAAAAGCGGTTTTAATTCTTAATGGGTGACTTGTCATAATCTTTCGAGGAAAGTGTCCGAACTTGGCGTAGCAGTGCTGTACTTGTGAGTACTAGTACAATACTATAAATGTACATCTGTAAGTGCGCTTGCTGAATATGCTGAACTATACGTCTTGAAATTCGATTTGAATGAATGAACACACAGCACTACGTACTGTTGCCGTGTATTGGTGCAGTACTTAGTATGTACTCTTTCAGGCTATATTTTTTGTTGATAGAATTTTACCGTATTGCACGAGCAAATTATTGGACCCTACCAGTTGTCAAGTCCTGGTGTTTAACTAGTGCACACATGCGGTAGCCGTGGCCCTGCCGCTAATGCAAAATTTTAAATTTCCAAAATTTGCTATCGGTTATTACTAATATAAAAGCACATTAATACAGCTTGGTATGCAGGCACTCCTTGTCTACGGTTTAATTAATAATTTAGAAAAATTTCTGACAAGTATTAATTTGGCTGGGATGACATGAGGGGCTTGCTGAAGAGTCCACAACTAGTGCGTCGCTCGCAAAATCAAAACGAAGCTATCATGAGGAGACTGCGCAACACCAGTGCTCCAAATAGCAGTAAACTGTATGTAACACTTCGTTAACATTTTATTGTTGCTTTGCCACGCCTTTTGAGCCTTTGCAGATGAAATTGATTTTTTAAATATACTAAGGTAGCATTATTCCTTTATGGAAATATCAGCATTTTTTGAATTTAGACCCGGAAAATATGCCCTGGTCAGTCTTGATCCACATAGTACTGCGTGCATGTTTTCAATATTGATTCACGAATTTGTATGTTGTTATTTGCAAAGAAAAAAGCCGTTTATCGCCTGCACACTGTAAACCAGCGATATCCCCTACTGCAGGCACGCGGTGGATCGGAGTCGATTAAGACTCGAAAAGCCCGTATTTATAGTGTTTCTGGTAATAAGAAGTATGGGACAACAAAGCGCACCCCGCTTCGCCCACCGGCTCATCCGGAACCCTCCTCCAGGGACAACAGTGACGAGTGCGCGGCCTCACTGCATTCGAACTCTAACAGTGCCGACGATGCGCCGAAACCAATCAAGACAAAAGGCCTTAAACGCAATATGTCGCGTCTTCCGCAAAAGGCTTCTGCAGCTAGTAAAGCCAAGCGCTCACGACATCATTCTGAGACGAACGTTCGCAAAAGTGTTGTCACTGCACAGGAATCGCTGGATGAACCGATGCATAGTCGACCTGTATTTCGGGTGGATACTTCGGATGTTGTGCGTGATGCCGCGGAATCAGACAGTGAGAAACGGATTGATGTATATCGGTAGAGAATTTCCGCTAAATTTGCTATCATTTGTAGCCAATAAATTTGGTGATAATGGAGTGAACGGTGACAATTGCCAAAATTCGGATAGCTCAGCGCAGGCCGAAGAAAGAAAGGAACCAGTCATTTTTGACGTAAAGTGGGACGCTGTAAGTTATTGCCGACTTTGCCGTTAACACGATTTGGACGATTTTTATTAATTTATACTAAATTCTTCAAACACAGTTATTGCGTCGCATGACTCTTCAATATTATGTATACTGATTGAAAGGGTATCGAAATAACACTTCGAATTTCTTATCAGAATTTAGATTTTCTTTTCTTTGGTCTGTTTTGCAAATATTTTTAATTTTTGGCAAAGTTGGTGGTGTAATTGTTACTGTTTCCGCAGAAAAGAGCTCGTTGTCCCCTGCCGAACTGCTCCGTGCCAAAGTATCTTTCTATGAGTATGTATACCATGCATCAGCACTTCCGAAAGGAGCACTTGAAGCAGTATCCAAAGTATCAGCTGCGCTTGCACTGCAGCTTGTGCTCGGAAAGCGGCTTTAACGGAGGACAGATTCCCGAATTGCGCCGCCACATGGAACTGAAGCACGGATGGAACGGTTGGAATTCCGCTGTTTGAGTCCGCGTGACACTAGGAACTAACTGTACATGGGAAGTTGTAACAGTGTCGTTAGTTCTGGTTCTCCTGATAGTTTGTCATGATTTTCTACGGCCACCGTTTGCTAGGTTGACCAACATATGCACAGTTGTGCCAATAACTGTTGTACAGCATGAAAACTAACGGCACGAATATTTCAATATTTTCGAATTGTTATTTTGTTATTTTCAAGACTTACTGAATGGCTATGCACGTGAGCTGATATTTCATTGTGGCATAATTAGATAAAATCAATAAGCTACGGTATACGCGAACGGCGTCGGATAACCGATAAAAGTCCCGATCCCCACGATGCTGAACTGGGTCGGTTTCTAGGTGAAAAGGATTGAGAACTACCGCGTATCAGCTACCACATCAAAATCAAAAAATGTTTTGTTTAACAAATACGTATTTTATATAATTCGCAAGTTATCGAAACATTTTTTCTGAATCAAACATAACTTCCGTTTGTACACTGCAAGCATACAAAATTCTATTATTGTCCTGATAATTAAAACTGACGATATGACAATTAACCACGACAGAACAAGCGAAATTTTACTTCGTTAATTTAGTACTCATACCACCGACCTTTTTGTTGGTCAGTTGTAGACCACAGCTTTTCTTCGTTTTCTTAAATTTTCTGCTCTGGACTTTTAGTCGGGAATTACGCTGCCGGGCTTTATCAAGCACGATTGTCGGGTGGCTTAATTTTAGCGTCCGCTTAACGTCGAGGGTTTCCGCCAGCGATGCAAGTTTGTCGATATCGTCATAATCCTCCATGGTTTGACTTGCACTCAGCTTGGTAATGATATCCATTAGAGACGACAGTCTGCCCTTGAAATCTTTCTTTCTATGTTTCTTCTGGCTTGAACGTGCCGTTTTGTTCGCTTCACTGACCATGGAACTTGAGTTGTCAGTGCATACCACTTGTCCGGAAAGGTCAATGTCAGCTAGGCTGTAATTTTGCTCCAGTTCAACCGCTTCGCTGAATGTATAGGGAACTCCTGTCGATTCGCCTCCCACACTTCTCAGATCTACATGGCTAACTTCGCCGCGCGTTTTCTATAAAATTTATTAGGTGACCACTTCGTACTCTATCTTTTTTTACCTTTTATTCGGTACAAAGTAAACACGTGCATCCGCGCTCGACATGTTTGTATAGGAAAAGTCTGATAATTTTGAATACCCGCGACGTGATAAGGAGAATTACATTCGAACAATTGTAATGACGACTAAAACTCGTAACTCAGGTCGCAAAGTATGTAGGTACTTTATTGCTTACGTTTCATACCTTGTACGGACCTGAGTAATTTACTGTTATATAAAGTATTATCTACGTAAATGCTGCCGAAAACGTAAAGTCGCCCACGCAGATAAAGGGAGTGCCGAAATGTGACTAATATAATTGTGACTAGTAATAATTATTATTTAAAGCTTATGCTGCACAACTTACCCACCAAATTGGTGTTGATATTTATGACTGCATAGTGATTTAGTAATTAGTACTGTACCTGTAGATGTATGTTCGATACATCAACCGTGCTGGAACAAAGCAGATGGACATGTTTGCACACTCTGAAACCACTGATGGATCCGATGCAGTCACAAACTAAAGAATGGGCGCAGACATCTGTCCGGCAGTCCGGGCATTTGAACGCGCAGCTTTCATTTGCACAATCTTTTTGCAAAATTACGTAAACACAATCGGGGTCAGAAAGCTTAGTGCACAGCCACCGCTTGTCAGAATCTACTTCAAACTCGTATTTATCTTCTACGAGCTGCGAGCGTCGATGACCTTTTGCTAATTCACGAATCCTGAAGGATGGAGTCTTTTTTGCATCTTCCGCAAAACGTTTGATGGAATCGTGCTCAATGAAATCACTTAACGAATCGTGAAATTCGTCTATTCTTAAGCCGTTTTTTCCTTCCAGGTACGAGCGTTTCAGATTTCTGAAAAGCAAATGGATAATTCAGTGCTACTCGTACCACCTCACTTTTATTCTGATAAGTGCCACTGATAATTCAACTGAAAAAACTTCGATTATGCTACTGATTAGGTGCTACTGATATTTGATATCTGTATTCTTATCTCGTTTAGGCGCTACTCAGTAAGTGCTGTTGATATTTTACCTGAAGACATTGTAAATTTTGGTTAGGTGCCACCGCAAACATTTCAACTCGATACAGTGTAAATATTGTCTAGGTGCTACTAATTGAACGCCTCTGAAATTTTATCTTGAGGAATTGTAACTTTCGATTTGGTGCTACTAATTAGGTGCTACTGATATTTCTGTTTAGTGCGACGAATTCTCAGCTTAGGTGGTACTAATTTTGATTTATTCTGGTATGCTAACATAGTATTCGGTAAATGTTGTTATCGCTTTACTGGTAATTCCGTCACATGGGTAATTTACTTTTTTTTAAATGAAAGTATTTTTATTTCGGTAAGTGATGATATCAGATAGCTTACCTGTGGAAACTTTCCACGAAGGAGCTTGTTGAAAAATCTGCCCCAGAGCGAAGACAGAGTGCCCACTCAGAAATTCGACATAGGTAATGTGTTTCCAAATAGGTCCGAACATCCGGTTGGCTGCTGATTGCTCGTCTTATTTCAGCAACCGCGTTTTCCATAGCTTCCTCATTGTGAGCATACATAATGTCGCGAAATTTCTGTTTTATGGACCGCAGCGATTTCAATCGACGATCCAGCCATTGATTGACATTTTTCCGGGCATGCCAAATGCACAGAATTTTCTGTGCGGCATTTCCAAAAACGTTTTTCCATGCATTATAAAATGCGTTTGCGTCATCGGATAAAAACCATTGCACGTCCTTGTTTTTCAGTTGGCATTCGAGAGCTTTAAAAAAATGAGTTACAGAAATTTCGTCTTCGTGGTTTGTTATGCAGTGTGCCACAACAATTCCTCGCTGCTTGTCGTCCAGTGTCAGTAAAGTAATTAGTTTAAATTCGGGGCGGCCGGTAATTCCGTGCGTGCCGTCGATGCACACACTTCGGCAGCTGAGGTTGGTTAAGTGCTTTTTTTGGGAATCCGTCTGGACAATTAAAATAAAATGCGAGTCTGTGATGTCCGGATATAAATCCGATTCGTCTCCAAAATGTTTGAAAAACAAAATCGATTTTTCTTCTTCCGGCAGCGAGGTCTGGCGCGCAGCTTCCAGAACAATACTGGAGAGATCGCTAGGGTCAGTGCAGTGGTACTCCAAACCGTACTCACGCCGAATATTGTATACGTCCTGCAGGGTCAAAAAAGCCAATCTCTGAGGAAGTCCAGCTGTTAACATAAATACAAATTTTTTGCCAACTTAAATGAAACAAGAATTTGCATGGAACTGCGCTTTACCGCTTTGATATTTCTGGAAGGCTGATCGTCTAAGGTCACGAACAATTTTTCTGGGTGGGACGCCTAAATTCACTCGTGTGGCAATTTCTTGTCTAATGCTGTCTGGAATTCTTTGTTGTGCCACGTCTTCGGCTGGGTCGTGGCCATAATGTTCCAAGCAGCCACGAATGCTTATTCCGTTTCCGCTACGGTACATCTGAAAATGTTAGAATAATGGAAGCTTTGAGTAGTAAGTTTAATTGCGTGGAATTAGTGTTCGTTTAGATGATTATATGGAAATTAAAAGCCATTGCTGTTTCACCTCTATACGCTGCGAAATTCGTCTAAAGTGGTGCTAATTACGCAGTGATGGGTTACTGAGTTTTTTGCACCTCTTCCTTATTTTTTTGCTTTTTATAGACTTACTTTACTGTTACTTTTTCGCTGCCCCAAACGCTACTTTTATTTGCTGTTTACTAATTCGCCTCAAAGATTACTTACTCACTAAGCCAAATACTAATAACTAAAGCTTATGTGAAGAAGCAAATTTCGCGCGAAGCGGGAAGGTGACGAGCAATTTATTGCGAAATCGTAAGAAATTCCAATAAAAATGATACTGTCAGTAGAAATATTGCCAGTCAGAATTTTCCTCTACTTTTAACTTACTTTTACTGTTATTTTAAAAACCTTACTTACTGATACTATTGTACAGGTCCAAAACGTTGCTGGTTACTGAATGCTTAATGTTAGGCTACTGTTTACTAAGTAATTTTTTCTTACTTACTGGCTAATCAATAACATAAAACTGCTAATTAGATGTCACAGATATTTCAGCTGTGGCCACTGTAAATTTCGGTATGATGCCACTAATTAAACACTTTAAATTTTAATTAGATGCTACTAATTAAGTGCCGCTAATATTTCAACTCAGTACATTGTTAATTTGACTAGGTGCTAGTAATTAGGTGTTACTGATATTTTATCTGGAAACATTGAAAATTTTGGCTAGGTGCTACTAATCAAGTGCCGCTAATATTTCAACTCAATACAGTGTTAATTTTGACTAGGTGCTACTGAAATTTCATCTGAAACCATTGTAAATTTTGGCTAGGTGCTACTAATTAAGTGCCGCTAATATTTCAACTCAATACAGTGTTAATTTTGACTAGGTGCTACTAATTAGGTGCTACTGATATTTTATCTGAAAACATTGCAAATTTCGGTTAGGTGCTACTAATTAGGTGCTACTGATGTTTTATCTACAAACATTGTAAATTTTGACTAGGTGCTACTAATTAGGTGCTACTGATATTTTATCTGAAAACATTGAAAATTTTGGCTAGGTGCTACTAATCAAATGCCGCTAATATTTCAACTCAATACAGTGTTAATTTTGACCAGGTGCTACTGATATTTTATCTGAAACCATTGTAAATTTCGGCTAGGTGCTACTAATTAGGTGCTACTGATACTTCATCTGAAAGCATTGTAAATTTTGGCTAGGTGCTACCAATTAAGTGCCGCTAATATTTCAACTCAATACAGTGTTAATTTTGACTAGGTGCTACTAATTAGGTGCTACTGATATTTTATCTGAAACATTGTAAAATTCGGCTAGGTGCTACTGATATTTCATCTGAAACATTGTAAATTTCGGCTAGGTGCTACTAATTAGGTGCTACTGATATTTCATCTGAAACCATTAAAAATTTCGGCTAGGTGCTACTTATTAGGTGCTACTGATATTTTATCTGAAAGCATTGTAAATTTTGGCTGGGTGCTACTAATTAGGTGCTACTGATATTTCATCTGAAACCATTGTAAATTTCGGCTAGTTGCTACTTATTAGGTGCTACTGATATTTTATCTGAAACATTGTAAAATTCGGCTAGGTGCTACTGATATTTCATCTGAAACATTGTAAATTTCGGCTAGGTGCTACTTATTAGGTGCTACTGATATTTCATCTCAAACTCTTGTAAATTTCGGCTAGGTGCTAGTAATTAGGTGCTACTGATATTTCATCTGAAAGCATTGTAAATTTTGGCTGGGTGCTACTAATTAGGTGCTACTGATATTTCATCTGAAACCATTGTAAATTTCGGCTAGTTGCTACTTATTAGGTGCTACTGATATTTTATCTGCAAACATTGTAAATTTTGACTAGGTGCTACTAATTAGGTGCTGCTGATATTTCATCTGAAGACACTGTAAATTTCAGTTAGGTGCTACGTGCTAATAGTTAAGCGTAAAACATTTCAACCCAATACGCTGTTAGTTCTGACTTGATTTTATCTTTTCTAGTTGCTGCAGCTAACTGGACCAGTGCTGCTTCCAAGTCGTAGTTTTAACTGTACCTTGAAAAAAGCTGAACACCGGAAGGTTAGCGTGGTTGAAGTCACTTCAGCTTCTGTTCGGGGACTGCGGAAGCAGAGATAAGTTTGCCATGTCACATCCCTGGACTTAGTAAGGGCAGAATATTTGTTAAACTGGGAACAAGTTTGCTCCTGCATTTCTGATTTCCAGTTATCAAACTCTTCTTCTCCAACAAAATTCTGATTAACCATTCGATGTTGAAGTCCATGGGTTTCAGCCAGATGCTTAACAAATTGTTCCATGTGCAGATAGCGGAAACCGCAGCTCGTTTCGTTGCATACACACACCTTAACTGCTCCTGACGCTATTGCAAAGACAGTCAGTAGTGCTAACAATATCTTGCAAAATCCAATCATGCAATATTTGCGTTCTAGAGATTAAATTTTTTATTACCTTTTACAGAGTGTTTTGGATGTTTGTGAAATTCACGCAGATGTCTTTTCAGGCTTTTCTCACAGCTATAACTTCTTTCTTCTCCGGAAATTTCGCAAATTTCGCAATAAAACCGCTGATCAGATACAATACTTTTTTCCGTACTTTCCATTATAAAACGGTTTTGAAAACGAATAAAAAGGAAAAAACGATTTCACAGGCATACAACATTTACGCTTGGATCTTTAGGACTTGCGAGTTTTTGTCACGTTCTCACGATGTGCTAACTGTGGGAAATTAGACTTGGAACATTTTTACGGAATTCAATTTCCACTTCCACGCGTCTGGTGTAACTGGAAAAGAGAACAGTGGCAGCATTTTGCAATGTCTATTGGTCGTAGCGTTCGACGGTTCTAGCCATTGATCGCAATGTTCCCATACGAGTGACGAACGCGTGTATGAGCAAAGGGCAAGTAAACGCAGTTATTAACGCAGTCTACGGGTGCAACAACAACAACACGTAACAACGATTCAGTTTTATTTGGGCATTGGGTGAAGACACTAGCACCGGAACACGGGACACCGGCGCAACCGGCCCCGCAGTCCTTGCTAAAACAACCCCCCTTCCCCTCGCAAAAGAGGGTGGGCGGGAGGGAAGAACGACTTGTTAAATGCAAAACATCTTTACTCCAATACGACAGCAACTCAAATGCACTAACAGAAATGCACAATCACTACAAATGCAACGTCCACAACCGAAACTGCATTGCTTATACAGCATCGGGATCTGCCTCCCAGGACACACCCTAATGGGTTTTCTTGGCTGGACACTGGTTAACCAAGTCGTCCAGCCTTGCGAACACCTCCGCTGCGTTAACCGGAATTAGCTTTGCTAATTCTATTTAACGCAGTCTACGGGTGCAACAACAACAACACATAACAACGATTCAGTTTTATTTGGGCATTGGGTGAAGACACTAGCACCGGAACACGGGACACCGGCGCAACCGGCCCCGCAGTCCTTGCTAAAACAACCCCCCAAACCCCCATCAAATTAGTACGGACGCAAGCCCTCGACAGTACGCGGTAAACGAACGTATCGGGCATACGCATCACTTTTCCACCGACCAGCTTTCATTATAGCCTCGGATGAGTAATTACGATCGGCAGCAACAGTCGCTGCGCCGATACGAAACGAATGTGGAGATAAATCTTTAAGTTCAGGATGATAACGCAACACTAATTTAAGCAAACTTGCAAATCGGCTGCGAGACAAGAAAGAACCGTCATCAAAGGTACAAAAGGGAAGGGTACTAGGAAACCGATCAGTACACAACAACAAAAACCGTTTAACAGCCCGGTACGGGCATACTGACCGATGAGTGGGACGTAAATAAAGTTTATAGCCTCTTCCGACTTGATCGGTTTTTGACCGTTTGATATTCAGAAGCACATAACGTTCTTTAATTAGAACATCACTTTGCAACAAAGTACGATGAGTGATAAACGAATGTCGATGTGAGGTAACAAACTCACTTGGTCGTAAAAATCCGAAGAATGCGATAGTGCACGCTGCCCAAAGCAAACACTGTGCATAGGCAGACAATGCCGAATCAAGAATGCATTGTTTAATACATTTCATAACGGAAAGTGTCACGGGACATCGACGGTCTAGCACCGGTGGAATCAACCGGGCATAACCCTTTACTGCCTGTCTTACAGCACTACAATCTGTGTAGTCGGAATATCCGTGTTCCTTATACCAGTTAGATAAAGCCGCTTAATAGACTTTTAAAGTTGAATATGCAATATGTTTGTCAAAAAGATTAGCAATAAACAGTGCAACAGACGAAGTGCTGAATACATTTACACTCTTTACTTTACAAAAACGAAAATATGACGATACACCAGCTCTGTATGTACGACGAGTCGACGAAGATATGTGGTTACGTAACAGGCGCTTTAATGTGGTATTCATGACGAAAAAGAAGTAAAGAAATCAGCAGGCAACACGCATGGCGATGCATCAGCCAGCGGTGCTAATGACCGAAAGCGAACCCACTGTTGCCGAGATAACGCATCGGCAATCTTATTTGAACAACCCGGAATATGCGAAATTTTCAAATTAAAATTATACTTAGCCGCTAAGAAAAATATCTTACGCATCAAAATATTTACAGATAAAGAAGACGTGGAGAATTTGTTCCAAGCTTGGACAACTCCCAAATTGTCACAATGTAACAGCACTTTTCGCTGACAGAGATCAGAACCCCATATACAGCATGCGGCATAGACAGGAACAAGCTCGCACCATTCAATTGAATAAAACGGCCGAGAACTTAGCTCAGACCACAAACAACTAAACCACTTCCCATTAAAATAACCACCAAAACCAATGGTACTGGAGGCATCAGTATAAAACTGCAGCACATCAGAACCCGACCAATCGACATCGAGGAAACAATTCGAGCCGTTCCAAATAGGGAGAAAATCTAACCACCACTGAATATCTTCCCGGATGTCTGCTCCAAGCACGATTGCGTCAGTACCGGATACAGGTAATAAATTTATCATACGCCGGACAAACAGGCGACCAACCGGCACACACTTTGCCGCAAACTGTAAAGTACCAATGAGACTTTGCAGCTCTGTCTTGGTGCACAATGAACGCACTGCCCACTGCTGTAATAACAACAGGATAGCGGCATGCTTATTAGGCGGTAAGGCAATAGTGCACGCGACTGAATCCAATTCAACACCAAGAAAGGTCAGTTTCGTTGCCGGTCCTTCTGCCTTTTCTGTGGCTAATGGAATACCCAACCGATCAGCGGCAGCGATAAACAGCTGCACGATATTAGTACACTCAGCCGACTTTGATTTACCAACGAAGAAGAAATCATCCATATAATGAAGTAAATTATCAAAACCAAACATGTGGGCAACAATCCAATGTAATGCTTGAGAGAATAAGCAGAAAAGATATGGCGAGGATCGACAGCCGAAAGGAAGAACAACATCGAAATAATATAGACCCTCTATACAATAGCCTAATAAATGCCAGTCTTCTCGTCTTACAGGAATCAGCCGAAAGGCATGTTTAATATCCTGTTTCGCCATTAAGGCGCCTTTCCCAAATCGTTTAAGTAAGGCGATAGCGTCATCTACTGAGCAAAATGATAATGAGAATGTAGCTTTATCAATGTAATCGTTCACAGACTGGCCGACTGGCCGCGATAAATCAAGAATAATACGAAAACCAGATGTCTTTTTAGGCACCACGCCTAATGAACTGCATACCATGTTAACAAATGGTGCATGCCGAAAAGGGCCAACCGTGTGACCAAGATCGATTTCTTTTTGAACAGATTTAAGTAAAACATCTTTATGGATTTTAGCCGATTTACAGTTAGGTGTATAAACAGAAACACGAGGACCAAAATAACCGATATTAGCACCATGTTGCAAAATAGTAACAATCTGATTAACAAAAGAACGATCAGGATGTGGCGCAAGCAGCTCTATGAAAACGCCAATTTTAAGCGGTGTTGCCGGATTTACCGGCATCGCGCAATTTCCAACAGCTGTACTCTCCATGGGTGGCGCCGGTACAATAGGAGCACATATGCCGAAGTTTATTCTTACATGGTGTTGAACAGTTTCCTTTGTTGAAATCGATGCAGACAGCTCTACGGTCGGATACTCCACGCCCGCGAAAAAGCTGCTCACTGGATTGCATACGAATAGCATCTTCCGCAATTTTGTCAGGACATTCACGAGCCAAATGACCAAACAAATGACAGCGTAAACACTTACGCGCATTGCCGGTATAACCAGGACCGGTATAACCAGTGCCGGTATAGCCGGTATGTCCAGTGCCGGTATAACCTACACCAGTATAACCACTGCCAAAAGTACTGATATTGCCGCGATTAGCAACAGCATTACCAGGCATAATCATAGTCAAACGGAAAATCTCATTATCAGTGCGCTGCCAAATCGAACAATCATCAGGATGCATACGAGCAAACATCCGAAATTGCTGGTCGTAAGCGAGCCACTGGCTAATGTGATATTGACGCTTTGGATTAGCCATACTCGCAATAATACTCATATACTTCAACAATGGGTGCTGCAACTGAGGGAAGTAATGCGCCCGATAAGACATAAACACAAAGAACGCTTCACACCACTCTGCAAATGAAGAAATTGGCGCCAATTTGCCACGGGATGAATCACCGCGGTCATGAGAATCCAAATTCTGATTAACCAACAGCAGCTCACTAAAATGAACAAACTTGGTGCGATCACGCAATTCACGTTCAACTCTTGAAGGAACAGACGGCAACTCAAAACCCAATCTCGCCGCTATTGGCAAACGTGGAAACTGGACAGGATGGTGTTGTTCCGATACAAGCAAAACACTGTCTCGGGATTTATTAGGAGAAACTGACTGTGTACGTGAAGGAAGTTGAGATGACAACACCTGCGACGTGTGATTGTCCAACTTCCGTAATTCATGACGCAATTCCGATTTAAGGCGGAGAAGTCGGTCTAATGACTCACCAGAACCAACGGAATGACGCTTTGAATCGCGTGACGTGGATGCTTTGCGCTTATCATTTACTTGGTAGCGCGTAGAACTGGAGTGACTGGACGAACTGGACGACGGAGGAGGAGAACGCGTAGCCGACCGGGATGTGGATCTGGAGCGCGAACGGCTACGAGACGCATCTGATCGGCGGCTGGTTGATTGTGAGACAGCACGACGAGACGGCATAATGAACAAAAAAAAAAATTATTGATCCTCAATTAAAAGAACGACGACGACGAACGACGACGTATTGTTATTACAGCAGTATTGTTATTACAGCAGTATTGTTATTACAGCAGTATTACAGCAGACGACGTATTGTTATTTAAGAACGACTTGTTAAATGCAAAACATCTTTACTCCAATACGACAGCAACTCAAATGCACTAACAGAAATGCACAATCACTACAAATGCAACGTCCACAACCGAAACTGCATTGCTTATACAGCATCGGGATCTGCCTCCCAGGACACACCCTAATGGGTTTTCTTGGCTGGACACTGGTTAACCAAGTCGTCCAGCCTTGCGAACACCTCCGCTGCGTTAACCGGAATTAGCTTTGCTAATTCTATTTAATAATATTGTCAACTGAGTTAGGGGTGGCTTAGACTGACACCTCGCGATGCAGGTGACTTACTGGCAAAGGGCTGCAGTTGCTCTTGTTGGTTTCGTTGTGTCGCACACCCTGATGTCCTCCTCTTTGTAAGGCCGCGGCATATGTCATCCATCCATCTCAGTTTAACCAGTTTATTTGTATCTCCGCAGAAATGT